AAAAAGACACTTAAAACGATCAATTAACGCAGTTAGGTCACTTTGTTGCGCGCTGGTCAAGTGACTTAGCTTGGTCAGAAATGTTTTCAGTGACTCCGAGTTCGGCAGGCAAGCTGTTTGATGTGATGAGGGACGCGTCTGGAAATCATCCTCATCAGCTATGGCAGGAGACTCAGTGACAATCAGAGCATTGACAGCGACAGTATTAGTTTTTGGGGAAAACACTGGTGGAGCGACAGCTGAGTTCGGTTCACGCGTGAAGTAAGGTTTGAGCGTGAAGTAAGGTTTGAGCATATTTATGTGACAAACACAACTTTTACGCCTTCTCCGGTGTAGCAATAACATAATTGGTGTCACTGAGGCATTGACAGACCTCATAGGGACCGGTAAATTTAGCGGAGAGAGGAACCAGGGATGGGCAGCAACGCCAGCACTTTGTCACCAACTTCGAAGCGGCGTGGGATGGCAGATCAGTCATAAAGACGCTTCATCAGTCTTGGAGGACAAAAGACTCTCTTCAGCAAGCGAGTTTGCACGGTGTAAACGCTCGCGGAATTCACTCACGAAATCAAGTACGTTTTCTTCATGTGAGGCTTCAGAGGACAGGAATTTTTCCTGCAGAGATTTAAGCGGACCGCGGAGTGTGTGGCCAAATACGAGCTCTAAGGACCTAGCTCTAAAACCTAAGGATTCCTGGACAGCATCAGGAGCGGCGAACAACACGAAAGGAATCCCTTCGTCCCAACTTTTACCTGTCTCTAGGGAATACTTACGCAGCATGGACTTTAACGTCTGATGCCAATGTCCTAATGCTCCCTGGGATTCAGGATGATACGCGCTGGACACAGATTGTTTGACATTCAGCGTTTTAAGGACTTGTTTGAACAAACATGACTGAAAGTTAGTACCTTGGTCGGTCTGGATAACACAAGGGAGGCCGAATGTAGAGAAAAACTTTGTCAGGGCCTTGACTACAGAGCTGGACGTAATTTTACGCAATGGGACGGCCTAAGGATAGCGGGTGGCAGCACACATAATGGTGAGTAGATGCTGATTACCTGTTTTAGAGCGGGGCAATGGACCCACACAGTCTAATATTACACGCTCAAATGGCTCACCTATGGCAGGAATAGGATAGAGAGGAGCAGGTGGGATTGTTTGGTTTGGTTTACCTGCTAGCTGACACACATGACAAGAGCGACAAAATTTGAGCATGAGGTTGTAAGTTTTACTCACCCCCAAATGACCTGACCATTTGCTCTGGTGGGCAACTGACAACACATGCTGCCGATATACAGAAGGCACTACAACTTGCAAAACACTACTTTCATAATCAGACTCTGAAGGAGTCCATTTACGCACCAGGATGTCTTTATTCATAATGTAAGATACTGCTTTACCACTTGCTTACCACACTTTTAAAGCAACGTGTCAGAGTCGGGTCAGCCCTCTGCCCAGCGGTGAGATGTTTACTGCCCACCGGCAGCGTCAGACTGTCCGATGGCGCCGAACTCAGGTTTGCAGAACCCACGGGCTCAGCACTTTTTGAAAGTAGAGATGCGGGAGCTTTCTCCGTCACAGCTTCCACATCTGAAAAAGCAGACATGAGCACAGTATCTGATAGATAGAATTCATCCAAATTACAAGCTTGCGCACGAGTTATGGCACAAGATGGGAACAGTTTCTGGTCAGTTTCAGTTTCATTTCTCATATCAGTGCTCTGAGGGGAATCCAACACCTCTAGCGCAGGGGTTACCTTGCCACCAGCGATGTTGTTACCCATCAAGAGAACTACTCCTTTTATGGGCAGAGCAGGACAGACAGCCAAAGGGAAAACACCACTTATCAATTTAGACTTAATGTGGACTGTATGCACCGGCTGTGGGACATAACCCATCTCAATTCCTTGCAAGGCAACACTATAACCACAAGAAGACTTTTCAGAAAATGGCAATGCACTAGCCAGTATAACAGATTGAGACCCACCAGTGTCCCTCAAAATGCGTACTGGGCACTGATCAGCAGTCTTACCTGTCAGAGATACATACCTGTCGAACATGAATGGCTCATAACATGGATCTGGGCAAACAGAAGAAACAGCATTAGATATAACACATGTCTCAGATTTAATGAACCCAACGCCTTTAGGATGCGATCCGTTACCATTCTGTTTTTTCCTGATTAAGGAGGGGCAGTTTGCAATGAGGTGTCCAGTTTTATGACAATAGTTACAACTTCTTTCATCTCTTCTGTGGTACACTCTGGCTTGTACACTCTGTGGTGCCGGAGCATGAGGCTTTTCGTAGGCAGACAGGAACACAGGTTTGTGGCTGAGCACAAACTCGTCAGCCAGTACAGAGGCAGCAGAGAGAGATGAAACTTTCTGTTCATTTAAATACACAACACCGAGACATAAACAGAGTAATGTGGTGTACGTTGTCCAGTGCAGCGAGGAATGCTTGGACCTGTACATTGGGGAAACTAAACAACCGCTTCACAAGAGCATGGCTCAACACAGGAGAGCCACTTCCTCAGGTCAGGACTCAGCTGTCCACCTTTCGAGGACAGCAAGGTACAGGTGTTGGCTCGAGAAGACAGATGGTTTGAAAGAGGAGTTAAAGAAGCCATCTTTACCAGGCTGGAGAAACCTTCTCTTAACAGAGGGGGTGGACTCAGGCACAATCTCTCTGGCACTTAGAATGCAGTTCTCAGCTCTCTCCCCAGGAAGCTCCACAAACATTCACCCCTGGAACCACATGACCCAGGTGGCATGAGTTATGTGGTCACGTGACAGGGGTCGTTAACGACCCTTTCAGGTTAACGACTTGGGGGGGGGGGGGCACACCCAGAGATGGGTTTCAATGACCCATTCTTTCCAACCCCTCCCAGTCGTTGTCTGCCCCCTTCTCCAGTAAGATAAATATCTGCTCCTCACACTAGCAATTTTAGAACTGAAGCCGCTTCTTGGATAAGAGGCGAAACGTCTTCTCAACTCTACACAGTCCAGTTGCCTGTTTTTAAGTCTTCAAGATAACCATGACCTGGATGAATAAGAATCTACATGGACGAACAGGTGAATGTTTATCCAGTCGGAGGGTCCTGCTGGAAATGAGCAACTTTGTCTCTTTGAAATGCAAAAGATTGACTGTCTGTCTTTTGGGAGATCACCTCTTGGTTAGTTTCTAACAGACAGGAGGTTGCAAAAAGACCATGGTTTAGTGGGGGGATTTAACCCACCATCTCGTCTCCAGTGACCAGCCACTGCAATCCTCTGGGGGGTGTTAAGGTGTGAAAATGGTTGTCTCTGCTACAAGAGCCAGAAAATTAGAACAGATAAAGGAGGAGAACTAATAATAAAGAACTGTAAAATACTAAGATTAAAAAGAAATAAAATAAAATAGACAAATAATAAGAATAAGATATAAATAAACTGATGCTTTGCACAGTATTACCACATAATAAGTGACAGTGTTTCTCATCAACTCCCAAAACTGACATCTCATACGTACAGGGATCAAGCAGCAAAAAAAGACCAACATCTCAAAGTAATGTTAAAGATCTGACATGTGTAACAAATAAGGACCAAGTGTTGTTATATTTCTCAGTAGATCCACACAGAGTACCTGATTTTCTCCAGGTTCAAACACATCATAACCTCCCGGATCCATTGAGTAACATTGGGAGGTGTTTTACTCTTCCAAATAAGCAAAATGAGGCGACCAGCCAATAGAGTTGCAAAAGCAACTGCATTTTTACAGGAAATAGGAAGCTTTTTACCTTCTCCTACCACTCCAAAAATTGCTGTCAAATTCCCTATTGCAGAAAGAGAGTGAAAAACACGAGTCCAGAAATCAGATAGACATTGACAGGACCAAACCATGTGGCAAAGGAAAACAGGGGAATACTGACACTGGGGACACGCTGGGTCAACATTTAAATATATCTTTGCCAATTTATCATTAGAGTAATAGGGACGGTGCACCACTTTAAATTGGATGACTCCATGATGTAGTGTGTATTTTAGAAATAATGTTTTCCCGTTTCATCCAGAATGTTTTAGATCAGGCAGTTTTAGATTTTTCCCATGTATGAAAAAGTTCTTTCTGGATCAGGTTATATAATTTAGAAATTAAAACTCTCTTAGATGAGTCCATGTTAAGTACCAAATATGAAATGTCTTCTGGGTAGCAGATGGGGTAATCTGAAAAATGTGTGGAGGCAAAGCTGCGCACCTGCAGATATCTAAAATAGTGGGAGTTTGGCAAATTGTAACCCTGAGAAAGTGTGGTAAATGGTAAAAAAACAAACAAAAAAAAAAACCATTTGTGCGCCACAATGAAAATACAGAGTATAGTTGAGATGGCTTGAAGAGATGGTTACACATGAGAGGGCAAAGTCTATTTATACCTTTAAGACTAAAATGTCCTCTAAATTGTTCCCATTTTTAACTAAGTTTTTAATTACTAAATTAACATTCAAATTCTGATGACTATTTTTTGTGTTTAGCAAGAGTGGGGCAGTTAGAAACGAAATTGGAAAGAGTGGTAGAGTTGATTTTAATTCCATATCTACCAAAAGGGGTCCTTCTTTGCCAGCGAACACTGTGATCCAGTAATTAAGCTTTGCAATATTGGCAGCCCAATAAAAGCGTAAAAAGTTAGGTAACCCTAGACCTCCTTCTGATTTAGCTCTCTCTAAACTAGATTTTTTTCATCCTTGCATTGGATTTGTTCCATAAATGAGGAAACAAGACGATCAAGTTGAACAAAAAAGGACTTAGGGAGGAAAATGGGTATCATCTGAAACAAACTAAAGATTTCTCTGGTTGTCCTTGAGCAGTCAACTAAAGAATGGATTCTTACAATCCATTTGTGGAAGAATGGCCCCATGCCAAACTTCTCCAACACTGCGAAAAAGATAATCCCATTCAACCCTATCAAACACATTCTTGGCGTTGGGAGACAGGATGACTTCTGGCCATGGAGTTGAGTTGAAAGATAAGAGGACATTAAATAATCTCCACTTATTAAAAAAGGTGTGACGCCCAGGGATAAAACCTGTTTGGCTCTCATCAATTATTGAAGGCACAACTGTCTCTAAACGACACGCAAGATGTATTGTGGCAGGTTCGTTGTGAGGACCCAGAAGCAGACACTGAGACTGAGATCAACTTAAAGAGAATTTAATGTCCAAACAAAATAGATAATGTAGATAATGCAACAGAGGATGTCCGGTAGGCTGGTTGGCTGGCTGTTGTGTGGGCTGGAGATACTGCAGGAAAAACCAGAGGAGATGGAAGTTATTGTACATGCACAGAATCACAAGGAGCAAAGTTCTGATGATTATACAAACGAAGTTGGCCAGGAGACGCGTCTTTACCGCTAGGAAGGGTAGACAATACTCAGGCGCTGAGACTGAGGGCTGCAGGCTTCTTAAAGTCCCTTGATTGGAGATGTGGAGCAGGTGTGTTGACTCACTCAGCCTCAGCGCCGGGGGAGAGGAGGAAGCTCTGGAAAAGAGTAAAGCCAGACCAGGCAAACAGGGAAAAACAGGAAGTCCAGCCAAAATAAAACAGGATGAGGAGGCGTCTCACCACACAAGAACTTTAGTTAAGATTTTGTAGTCGCACCTGAGTAAACTAATTGGTCTATACGAACTACATTCTAAGGTGTCCTTACCCTTCTTCAGAATTATAATTATAATCGCTTGAGTCCAAGCACTTTGAGTTGCTTTAATAGCAGACTATATTTCCTCAGCTGTTATAAGGTTTCAAGGGAGGCCTGAGAATCAGGACTTATTTTATATCCAATGAGTAAAGGAATTCATATATTTTAGTCTGTTCACTTTTCATCTCAGATTGGTAGAGATTAGAATAGAAGTTCTTGAAATTTATCATTAATGGTCCAGGGATTACGAGAGGTTATACTGGGATTTACATTAATTTCATTTCACTTTATGATGGTTTACATGAGTTAAACTACAAAAAGAGACCAAAGAATAATTCTAAAGTATCAGACCTAAACCACCAGTGCCACTATATTAGTTTAAGCACTACGGGCGCCATTTTCGTGCCTCGCCGGCGACGCAGCACATGAGCGGTGTAAGTCAGGTCCGCCGCGCCGACAAGGCGTTCCCAAGCACAATTTGGTATTATGGTGAGCGGCACAGCCCGGCGTAAGTATTGCCTACCTCAGCTCCTCCCTCCGGCGTAAGTCGTAGCGAGGAAGGAGAGAGGGCGTGGAGTGGGTTTAACACAGCCGAGACCTGTATTGACCAATAACATCAGCTCCTCTCCTCCCCTTTAAATATGCCACCGGCGAGGTGTTTACTGTTTTCTGAAGTAGTGAAAGAGATCAAGAGATGTCTGAAGACAGAAATGCCACACGATGGCGACAGAAGGCAGCTCCTCAACAAGTGTCACTGTAAACGCTGCAAAGGGCGTCCTTCACACTCTCTCATATGAGCACAGATGGATTTGGTGTGTGTAATGTTGGACCCACTGGTAAGACAAACACCCTTTCCACAAATAAAGACACTCACATAAAGTTGCACATATTTAAACCTCACGTGACAAAGGTGGGTTGTGCTCACAGATCACATCATAAATTCCAAAAATGGCATTAAAATCGGAACCATCTGTGCGTCAACGACGCATCGCGCTCCGTGGCCTGGCTCTTTCTTTCATAGATGTTGGCATGAAAAATAAATTTGGCTAACAAAACTGAATATTATAAATATTCATGTGTAGGCTTAAAGTAAATAACTCATCTGATCACTACAATAAATCATCTGTTCACGCCGCGCTTGCGGCACGTCTCCGGCGAGGCACGAAAATAGAGCCCTGAAAGTCATACTGAAGCCTTTTTATGATTTGATTTTTTTTTTACTTTTAGTTTTAGCTTCTTTGAAATTGATTATTGCTAAAAACGGCCTTTATCTCAGTGTATTTTTATCTGATATCTAGCTGGGTTTAAACCCCTTACAATATTTAGCCCCCAATTTTTTTTATTAATTTTTCCACATAGTTTTATGTCTTTCAGTGTCATATTGTATTGTGTTGAATTACCCCTGTTAAAATTACCCAAAAAGAGATCTTTGTTAAAAAGGTTAAAAAACAACAGCCAGGTCAGCAGTCTGGTCTCACTGTGGGGGTGATATTATTGATCAGAAAAAAAGGTGCATTAAATAAATTTTGTATACATTTTTTGTTGTTGCTCAGTCTGATTTTTCTGTTTGCTGAAATGAATAGTGCTTGCAAAATTGGTATTCTCAGTAAAGTTATTACAAAATCTGTGTTGCCATCTGTAGGGCATATAAATAGTTGGTAAGATATGGGGCTCTATTTTCGTGCCTCGCCGGAGACGTGCCGCAGGCGCAGCGTGAGTCAGGTCCACCGCACTGACAAGGCGTTCCCAAGCACAATTTGGTATTTTGGTGAGTGGCGCAGCCCGCCTTAAGTATCCCCCCTCCCTAACTCAGCTCCTCCCAGCGGCGTAAGTCGTAGCGAGGGAGGAGAGAGGGCGTGGAGTGGGTTTAACACAGCCGAGACCTGTTTTCACCAATCACATAAGCTCCTCTCCTTGCCTTTAAATCCGCCACTGGCGAGGCGTATTACTATTTTCGTGAAGTAGTCAAAGAGATCGAGAGATGTGTGAAGACAGCAATGCCACACGATGGCGACAGAAGGCAGCTCCTCAACAAGTGTCACTGTAAGCGCTGCATTGGGCGTCCTCCACACTCTCTCATATGAGCACAGATGGATTTGGTGTGTGTAATGTTGGACCCACTGGTAAGACAAACACCCTTTTCCACAAATAAAGACACTCACATGAAGTTGCATATATATTTAAACCTCACGTGGCAAAGGTGGGTTGAGCGCACAGATCACAACATAAACTCCAAAATTGGGATTAAAATCGGAACCATCCGTGCGTAATGACCATAGACTGTATATAAGATGGACACCGTGGTTCCGCCTTCCGCCTGTATATGGATTTGAAGCCAAAAAGCTCTCGGTAATTCCGGGTTTTTCTCCACTTCCTTGAAACTAGAGCTGTGCAGTAGTGTTGTGCGCATTCGGCCGCGCAGTCGCTGAGAGTCCCTGTGATGACTCTCGGCTCAAACAGCATATTCCCCCGGAAGAGCTACGCAATCCCTGAACGCCCATAGGCTGTACCAGGTGTCAATCATAGAAAACATGAACCCCCTAATAACTTTTAAAAACGGAGCTGTACAGAAAAAATAGGACTTGGGCACAAACCAGTCTTACTGTAATTATATGTCAACATCACAACCAGGGGGGAGAAAAAATTATGTTCTGTGTAATAAATTTCTAAAGTTTGTCCACAGTCCCATAAGCTTTGCTGGCGGAGGCGGGATTTATGACCTGTACTGCAGCCCACCATCAGAGGGTGCTGTTCTCGGAGTGGCTTCACCCAGCGAGGAGGCAGACTCTGTCCATCTTATATACAGTCTATGGTAATGACGCATCGCGCTCCGTGGCTCTTTCTTTCATAGATATTGGCTCATAAAATAAATTTGGCTCACAAAACTGAATTTTATAATATCCGTATGTCGGCTTAAAGTAAATAACTCATCTGAGCACTGAAACAAATCATCTGTTCAGCCGTTGCAGCAGCAGCAGCAGGACGGAAAGAGGAAAGGGAGACATGTCTAGGTCGAGCTGCGCGAGAAATAAGAGGAAGAGGAAGAAAGAAAAGGAGGGAGACAAATTAAATATCTTGTTAACTTCATCATGTGTGTTTATTTACTAGATTTTTAATTTAATTTAATGCGGTTTCAGCTGTGTTGATTCGGTCAGGTTGTGTGTCCAAATGCGTGCCAAACGCGCTCCTCAGATCAGATATAGATGAGAATATATCTATAGATCTAAATGTATGTGCTGACTCAGATTAATTGTTGTTGATGATTATTTATTGCACTGAGGATGCGGTGACGTATGCGTAATACGCCGCCGGTCTACCAAAATACCACTAGACCAGCTGCGCTCCGCCTGCGCTGAAACAGTGTTGTTTTCGTCAACCATGATGTTGAAGAAAATATTTTCGTCAACGTCGTCAACGAAAACAAAACTGCACGTGTGTGCGCCCGCGTGTGTGTGTGTCTGTGTGTTGGAGGAGCACGGCAGGCTGATGAGAGCTGTCAGAGCGGACTGTTGCTGCTCCTATATGTTTAGCGTTTAACTGACTGAATTTTGCAACTCTGTTCGTCGTTTTCGTCTCGTCCCGTCAACGTAAACGCACTTTCGTCTCGTCACATTTTAGTCATCTCCGACTTATGTTTAGCTCGTCAACGTTGCGTCTTCGTCGTGGAAGAAAAGGGAAATATTTTCGTCAATGAAAACAACCAGTGTTGTTCTCGTTGACGAAAATATTTCCCTTTTTTGACGCTGACGTGGACGAAAATATTTGACGAAATATGACGAAAACAACACTGCGCTGAAAGCTGACCAGGTTTGAATCGGCGAGCTTTCAGCGCACTTTACATGCCACTGACGAGCACGAAAATGTCACTGCGTCCGCTGATTCTGTCGACACCTCCCCCTGCCACGCCACCATAATTTAAAAAAAGTCAGTTACTAAGTAATGAGAGAATGACACTGGAAAAACAACTTAAAACACAGACAAAGAAGATTTGTCACAAAAAAAGCTACAAATCAAGTCTGCACTTACTGTAACCAGTCAAAACAGGGAGAGGTTTTCTATTATTTTGTTTTAATTATTTCTGGGTCCTGAAGATAGAAACATATCAAGTATTAATAATAATAATAATAATAATAATAATAATAAACTTTATTTGTATAGCACCTTTCATGACATGAGATGCAGCTCAAAGTGCTTTACAGGTTAAAAACAAAGCACGAGTGCTTTACAGACGGGGTAGATGATTGGCAATAAAACAATAAAATTAACAATAAAAACAATAAAATAAGCAATTAAAAAAATAAAAATAAATAAAAATAAGCAGACAATAAATACAGAAACATAAAACAACATCATAATAATAGCAAATAGTGCGGACATGATCAAATAAAAGCAAGAGTGAAGAAATAGGTCTTAAGGTGTGTTTTAAAGTTATCAACAGAGGTTGCCTGTCTTATGTAAACTGGGAGTTTGTTCCATGCTGTCGGCCCATAGAAGCAGAATGCTGCTTCTCCATGTTTTTTTGTTTTTTTAAAGAGGGAAACCCTAATATGATAATGAAAAAAAAAATGACAAGACTTTGTGTATAGTGTTTAAACTAGTTACTTATCTTAAATTAATGTATTTTGTATTATAACCCTTGGTTGGGAGCTACATTCAATTTTTTTGTTACAGCAAAACAGATATTCAGGCTTTTTATACCATGAATATGTGATAATATCTTTCTTAAGTCTGAGACAGCCCCTTGTAATGATATTATCAATTTTCTATTATGTAATAATGAGTACTCAGCAGCCTCTTACCTTGTACAGCTTTTAGTTCAGGTAGACTGTGGACAGGGGCTAAAAAATTTTCAAGTTTAATATCCAAAACTTTGCCAATACGTTCATGTAAATCATTCCTTAAAACCCTAACGACAACAGCCTGAACTGCAAAAAAAAGTTGGGACACTGTGTAAAATATAACCAAAGAGGATTTTTATGGATGGCATACCATTTCAACCTTATATTTTATTAAAAATGTGCAAAGATGGCCTTTCAGACATTGAAAGTGAATTAAGTAAAATGTATGCTCTTTTTAAATTTGATATTAGCATCACATTTCAAAAAGGTTTGGCTATAATGGTGACAAAGTTGTGTAATATGAAAAAATACGAAAGAAACATCTACCCATTAATTGTGTTGAGCTGCGACAGGATGGTGAGGAAATTAGGATCAAAAAGGACAGTCCAGAGAGGGTGAGCCTTTCAGAGAATAGTTAAGAAGAGGTTCCCCACTCTCCAAGATCCTGTGTGAGTACATTATTCAATTTTGTCAGAATGTTACATATTGTAAAATGGCATCATAAAATAAATTATATCATTTGAAGATCCTGAGAAACTAGAAAAAATTCTGTACAAAAGGGACAGCACTGAAAACTAACACCGAATGAATGTGACCTTAGGACCCTGAGATTGCATTGTCTCAAAAACAGACATGACATGGGCTCAGAATCACTTCGAAAAACCGTTGTGTGCAAACACAACTTGTCACTGCTTCCACATATGCAGGTTAAAACTGCCCCATGCAAAGAGGACGCCATATTTAGACATGATCCCAAACTGCACGCAACCTTTCTGGGCCTTAACCCATTCAGGATGGCCTGAATGGGGAGGGAGGAAAACTGTTGTCTATTCTGACTAATCAAAACTTAGCAACCTGTATGGAAATCCTGAACATTGCATCCTAAAGGTGTGAAGTTCAAAAGCCAGCATCCCTGATGGTATGGGGATCATCAAAGTCCATGTCATGGGTGTCTCCCATATCTGTGAAGGCTCCGTTAATGCTGAACAATATCTTCAGGTTTAGGAACAACACCTGCTGCCATCCAGATGAAGACTTTTTCAGGGAAGACCTTCGTATTTCAGCAAAACAACAACAAACCACATTCTACAGGGATTACAACAGCACGGCTCTGTAGTAGAAGAGTCCTGCTGATAAACTAACCTGCCTGCAGTCCTGTCTGTCACCCATCAAAAACTTTAAGAGTAACATTATATGAAAAATATGGCAAAAGAAATGCCAAACTGTTGTGCAACTGATATCCTGCATCAGGCAAGAATAGGACACTCTCCAAACGCCAGTCCGTCTAGTTCACAAAGAAGAACGCTGAAAGAAGATGTGATTCAACCCAATGGTGAACACGGTTGTCCAAACTTTTTTTGGGGACTGCTGGCATCAAATTGAAAATTAGTAAATACATTTATTAAAGCGAAAGGAAAATGTTTAGTTTCGAGACTTGACATGTTGTCATCACAATATTTCCAATTAAATGCAGTTAAAACAATTCGATGATAAACTGTCAAATTGTTTTTATCAACATTTTACAATGAATTCTAGCTGTTTTGGAAATTTGGGTTGTACACAATATACATATTATACCTGTTACATGATTTACTCGCTGGGTCTGTGTGGTGCTTATGATTCATAATTTAATTACAAGTTTAACCAACAAAATAATGCATTGGGGATTGTTGACTAATGCAAGGCCAGGGGCTCCAGTTTTAAGGAATGATTCAGCTAATCTAATCTTTAATTTCAGCTGAACTTCTCATATACAGATTTCCTCACACATCTTGTTCTTAGTGTCGCTAAATCAAATAGCAGAACTTACAAATATGAAATGAGGAAGCAACAAAATTTAAATTGATCTGCAGCTGAATGTATCCAACACTATTAGTCTAGCGGGAATATGCAGATTTTTGAGGCGATAGTGCAGATGGTGATACAAGCATGAAATTTGGTACAGATATCCTTTATACCACTACTAATCATAATATAACCTCTGGCCACCTGGGCGGCACCATTTTTCATGATGCCCGCGAGCTTTTAGAAATGGCTGTCACCAGGTCAACATTTTGGACTGTATCAGTTTATTGCAGCTATGAAACTTACACATACCCTCATTTTAATTTATTATAATATTTTAGGTATTTATTCCAATTAAACATAAGATATTAGGTTCCAATATGGTGGCAAATTTCCAATATGGCTGCCGATAAATAGCAGAAATATACTGCTGTTCACGGTTAAGCCATAAGAGCATGCAGCACATAGTTGTATTTTTTTCCATAGATAGAATCAATTTATGATGACACATTTAAAGTGATTTGTTTGCATTTTAGTGCCATAGGTACCAGGTCCCAGACCAGCACACCCAGTCATGACCCACATATGTTTCAAGGTGGGCTTCCTATATGGAAAGTTCGTGGGATACACTTTGTTCCCACTTGGGCTGTCCATGTGAGTAATGACTGGGCCCTAGGTGGATGGTTTTTTTGTTTGTGTTTGTTTGTTTTTTTGTGCTTTTTTGTGTTTTTTTCCCTTTTATATATATTTACAGTATATATGTGTGTTTTTACTTAGGAACAAATTCTTATTTACAATGGCGGCTTGGCTAGTGGTAGGCCTCCTGTGTCTTCTTTGTGTCTACATTCTTACATGCACTAACAAGTACAACCACAGAGGGGTGTGCAGCTAAGTCCAAACTTGAAGCATTTGCAGCGGCCAGAACATCCTTTTTTGTTGTGTTGTTGTGTCCAATGAATGTCAGTCGATCATACAGTGCATCCGGAAAGTATTCATACCACTTCACTTTTTCCACATTTTGTTATGTTGCAGCCTTTTTCCAAGATGGATTAAATTCCCTTTTTCCCTCAAAAATTCTACACAAAATACCCCATAATGACAAAGCAAAAAACTTTTTTCAGAGCATTTTGCAAATTTATTAAAAATAAGAACACTCAAATGTTGCATATACATAAGTATTCACACCCTTTACCCAATACTTGGTCGAAGCACCTTTGGCAGTGATTACAGCCTCCAGTCTTCTTGTGTATGATGCAACAAGCTTGGCACACCTGGATTTGGGGAGTTTTTCCCCATTCTTCCTTGCACATCCTCTCAAGCTCAGTGAGGTTGGATGGGCAGCGTCGGTGCACAGCTACTTTCAGGTCTTGCCAAAGATGTTCAATCGGGTTCAAGTCTGGCTCTAGCTGGGCCACTCAAGGACATTCAGCGACTTGTCCTGTAGCCACTCCTTTGTCTTCTTGGTCGTGTGCTTAGGGTGATTGTCATGCTGGAAGATGAAGCGCCGCCCCAGTCGAAGGTCTCGAGCGCTCTGGAGCAGGTTTTTATCAAGTATTTCGATGTACTTAGCTGCATTCATTTTTTCCCTCGATCCTGACAAGTCTCCCAGTTCCTGCTGCTGAAAAACATCCCCACAGCATGATGCTGCCACCACCATGCTTCACTGTAGGGATGGTATTGGCGAGGTGGTGAGCGGTGCCTGGTTTCTTCCAGACATGAAGCTTGGCATTCAGGCCTAAGAGTTCGATCTTCGTTTCATCAGTCCAGAGAATTTTGTTTCTCCTGGTCTGTAAGTCCTTCAGGTGCCTTCTAGCAAAGTCCAAGTGGGCTGTCGTGCTTTTTACTGAGGAGTGGCTTCTGTCTGGCCACTCTACCATAAATGCCTGACTGGTGGAGTGCTGCAGAGATGGTGGTCCTTCTGTAGGGTTCTCCCATCTCCTCAGAGGAACGCTGGAGCTCTGTCAGAGTGACCATCGGGTTCTTGGTCACCTCCCTGACCAAGGGCCTTCTCCCCCGCTTGCTCATTTTGGCTGGGCGGGCAGCTCTAGGAAGAGTCCTGGTGGTTCCAAACGTCTTCCATTTCTTAATGATGGAGACCACTGTGCTTTTTGGGATCTTCAATGCAGCAGAAATTTTTCTGTTACCTTCCCCAGATCTGTGCGCCGACACAACCCTTTTTTGGAGGTCTACAGACAATTCTTTCGACTTCATGGCTTGGTTTGTGCTCTGACGTGCTCTGTCAGCTGTGGGATCTTATATAGACAGGTGTGGCTTTCCAAATCATGTCCAATCAGCTAAATTTGCCACAGGTGGACTGCAATAAAGTTGGAGGAACATTTCAAGGCTGATCAGTGGAAACAGGATGCACCTGAGCTCAATTTTGAGTTTTATAGCTAAGGGTGTGAATAATTATATATATGCAATATTTGAGTGTCTTATTTTTAATAAATTTGCAAAATGTTCTAAAAAAAGTTTTTCGCTTTGTCATTATGGGGTATTTTGTGTAGAATTTTTGAGTGAAAAAATGTATTTAATCCATTTTGGAATAAGGCTGTAACATAAAGTGTGGAAAAAGTGAAGTGGTATGAATACTTCCAAGACTTCAAGACTGACAGGAGACAAATGTCTATCCCAAAGCACTTGAGAAAATGAAAACCCAAGACCCTTTTGATATAAGGTAAATATGCTTTTGTTTCAATGTGCACATTTACAAAAAAAGTAAATATGAAACTTTGCTCAGACTGTATCTAAAGATTATTACCGTTGGGTATTAAAACTCCACTGACACAGTTCTGTCCTTACTTTCCTTTGTACTGGGAAAATGTTTGGGTTTGCTGGTCTGTTCAGGTATGTATAAGTGTAGATGTACATCCTCTGCCAATGTATTTTCTTGTGTGTTTTCACTAAATCCAGGTCCGAGTAAAGCTTGATTAGACTGAGGAGTGTAAGAACCATGTCTATCAGTAAAGTCATGAATTCACTGTTTCAAGTGTAAATTTGCTTCACACCAAATTCCTTTTTATGGCTACAACATCGGATCGAAGAGAAAATACAAAACATTATTTTTCATAATTTAATACACATTCTACTGTTAAAAGGAATACAGATATGACAATTATGGTAATTCTCAAATAATTAGATAATAAATGGAGTGTAAACAAATGCTGGTGAGTGGCCCATTAAAATGTCTGGAGATGACAAGGTTAACAAGATATTTGAGAATTAGTACAAAGCAGTCCCACTGTCTCCAAACTGCAGCTTTACTAATGGCTGCTGAGTTGGGTCAAACTGTGATCCCATCAAACACTTTTGAACAAGTTGCTATGAATGGTTTATCAGCAGAGGCCCATTTTTTTCCAAGCAAAGTGCTTATGGCATTACCTTACGGCATGTGACACCCTCTTCAGACAACAGAACCAATAGTTTCTGTCATTTTATTTCATTGTACACTTGTTTGTTTAAAGCATACTTCATATGATCGTACAGGCACACATCTGCCTAAACCCAGCATGTCTGCTGTTTTGTAACCACTGAATTACCAACATGAACAGTGCCACCAGTGTCAATTTAGCCCTTAAAATAGCTTTTTAATCTGTATCAGCCAGATTGTTCAGATAATCTTTCTCTCATACCAATCATGCACAAACCCTTTTCCTATTCTTTAACAGCAAGAAAAGCAGTCTCTTACATTCCCTGGTCCATTTCTACGATGTTCTGCCTTTTGTAGATCAGCTAACAATGATCTGTTAGCGTTTTGCTTGTGTACAAGAAAAATGTCATTCACGGTCTCCCTTCTTTCAACATTTTAGTCATTGCTTTTGGTCCACAGAAAGTTTTTTTTTTATTTTAGCTGAAGTAAAATCTTCACAGGTATCTTTGTGTTAAAATGGACACTGATGTTAAATCATACGATTGCTGGCCCAAAATAATAACAGCAACTATGATTTCACTGGAAAACCTGCTTGCCTGACCTGGGTCACACAGTACATCAACTATTCTTCATTCAAATCCATCTTTCCCCCGTCCTATGTGACATACTCGTCATCATCACTAGGTTCTGATTTGATGTGATCAGGGTGAAGAAGAGGATAGTGTGGTGCCGTAGTCCTGGTACAGACATACCATTCCTTAATGTTAGACAAATGAGGTAAGGCTGGATTGACTGAGCGCTGGCTCCTTCTGGGGGTCCTGCCACTCTGATGCTTCTGAGCTAGTTGACTCTTCAGGCCAGACAGTGAAAGATCCAAAGGCATTGCCATCGGAGATGAGCTACGCAGCAGCAACTTATTGTCCACTTCCCTGGCTGAGCTAATATGCAATTCATGATTAGACAGAAGTGGGAAGTTTATGTGTTTGTTGCCAAGCGATGGAGAAAGTCGATTAATCTTGAGATCAAGGGGCTCAAGGAGAGCCTGATGAGGTTGCTCGAGTTGATGAGAGACTGAGTCGTATGGGTCCTGAGGTTCAGAGGTAGGTGACAACTTGACATGAACCTTCATATGTTTCCGCAGGGAGCTGGGGTGGGTGTAGGACTTGGTGCATCCAAGAGCCTTGCAGTCGTAGGGCTTTGATGCTGTGTGGACCTGTGAGTGCTTCTTCCGATCGCTGCTGTTGGCAAATCGCCGCTCGCAAAACTCGCACTGGAACGGCTTTTCACCTGCAACAGACAGATCACTCTGGCTATTAACATAGATCTGGACTGGGCCCCTACTGAAAAAGTTGAGAAGATACATCAAACACTTTCACCGCATACATTCTTTCTGCTATGGTACTGAGGGCAATTTTGTGAAAAAACCTCACATAATGTGAAATGAGCTCGGTTTTTAATATGTCCAAGAACTTCTGTGTTTTCCTCTAGATTTATATAGTCATTGAATAAAAGGTCCCCATTTAAAATGTTTTGTCATTATGTTTTACTTTTGGTGACAAGACAATAATTTGGGCACATTTTATTTAGAGGGAAGAACCCGCTGAGATAAATCATCTTCTTTTTAAGGGTCCTTACCACAACCACATTAAATACAGTATATAAAATAGCTTCCATATCTAAAATACAACTATGAGCACTATCAGTTTATTTAAAATAAGAGATGTCTTAAAGGTGCAGTGTGTATATATAGTAACATCTAGTGGTCAGATTTTAAACTAAAGGATCTCCCACGGGTGAAGCAATGGCAAAGGCAAAAACCTCCTGCAGTACATAACAGTCACAATCCTATATTTGTCAAGTTTTTACCATCAAATGTGTATCATGTTGTATATTTGTGTTCTTCATCCAAAACTTTTGTGCTGCTGTCATAACATGAATGCATCAATTCATTCTTTTTCTGTAAAGGTACAAAAAGCCTGAAGGGGAAGCCTAGGTCAGCAGAGAAACAAAATATGACCTTGTTTTTACTGGTTTTCTGTCTGAAGGGTTTAATGAGCCAGATAAAGCAGCTTGAAGGTACAGTGTGGAGTATTTGGCAGGGCTCAGCAGAGCATACTGGGTGATTTGTCTGAAATTTGTTTGTTTTTTTCCAAAACAAACAAATCACATACTGAGCCTGATGTTTTTATTTCTGGACAAAGAATCCAAATTGTAAATGAATATAAATATTTAGGTATTGTGTTAGACAGTAATCTTACTTTTAAACATCATGTTAAAAAAGTAAGCAAAATTCTTAAGGTCACACTTGGAAATTTCAGGCACCTCAGAAATCATATGTCAACAGAAGCAGCAAAAATGTACATGTTTTCTCTTATAATGTCCCATATTAATTATTGTTTACCCGCCTGGTCCACCGCAAACCCCACTACTTTAAACCCATTAATATCACTATACAAACAAGCACTCAAAACTCTGGATAAAAAACCAAGATCTTTTCATCATTGCACAATTCTTCAAAAATATAGGTTATTAAGCTGGAACAATCTTGTCCTTTTCAAAAACTGCTGTCTTACATCTAAAATCCGTCATAGGGTAGCTCCGCCCCCACTCTGCAACCTCATACAGTTTAGATCTCCAGCAACCAGTGGTACTAGAGGGGCGGCCAGAGGAGACTGCCAGATCCCACTTAGAAAATCTGTATTTGGTCAGTCAGTTTTTTCTTGTAGGGCAGGCAAGGATTGGAACACAATACCACAAAACATAAGAGAGTCCAATTCATACAGAGCATTTAAAATAAATTTGAAGAGGTGGTTACTTGAAAACCAAACTTGTTCTCATTAGTTGGTTGGCGTGCTTTCGGGTGGGTAATGTTGATGTTTTAAATATTGTGTATTATGTATGTTTTTATGTAGTTGCTGATTTCCCACCTTTTTAGGTAGCCATGTTCCTTCTGGCAGGGGGACTACCAATGGAAACTAGCCTTGTGGCTACAATTGGGTCCATTTACATTTTATCTTTTTAAAATGTTCATTAATGTACACTGTCCCTCTTTAACAAATAAAAAGGAAATGAAATAAAATAAATGAAATGACTGTAAAATCCCCCAAATTCAAAACTCTGAAAAATTCAAAACATGTTTTTTTTTCTAACTTACAATGAGCCTTTTATTTTAACACAATGAGATAGCTCTCACTAAAGCCACCATATTTTAGCAGCAGCACACAAAAAACTTGTATAAGAAGAAGAGGAAGAAAAAGAACTTTATTAATCCCCGAAGGGAAATTCAAATAAGGTACCTGTAACATGCATAATTTGCTTTCTCTGCTGACCTAGGCTTCCCCTTCAGGTATTTGTACCTTCACAGAAAAAGTTACCTGTAACATGCATGTTTGTGTATTCAGTAATAAGCCAAACTGCACTAGTTCAATTATGAAGATGCATTAGAACTTTGTGTCCTTGGCCACTGTCGCTTCATATCAATCTAAAATCGGACTGCTAACTACAGCTCAATAGTCCCATTTCACATTTCTATACACTGCACCTTTACGCCTCGTTTAATTAAACCCCGATTGGAAATCCTCAACAAGGAGGTTATTGCATCACTGTCAGCCTGTTCTTCATTTTAATAGCTTACAACTAAAAATCTTATCTAAAAAACCAAAACCCTCATGAAGCCTTGTTCTTTCTTTCTTTTTATGTTTTCAACTGTTATAGAGGTTTGGTAGAGTTTGAGATTTGGTTTAAATTTTTCCAATATCCGCCAATAACATAGCAGTCAAAGCGCCCATGTTTGGAGACCATAGTCCTCTTTGCAACAATCTCTGATTCAATTCACAGCCACAACCATTTGCTGCCTTTCCTCCTTGACTCTACAACCCACATTTTATTCAATCATTAACTTTTCTTTTTACGGATACATTTTATCAACTGAATGAGAAAATCTGAGGTTCATAAATGTAAATAGTAAGCATAATCAATATTTATCCCCTTCCATTAATGCATTTGTCATTTTGTTTCATCAGGTATCTCAAGAAAATTATTCAACCTAGCAAGTCATCAAGTTCTCTGAGATGCTAGTGAGGTCTGCAATATCTATCTATCTATCTATCTATCTATCTATCTATCTATGATACAGATGCTGTCTCTATATTCTCATTTCCAGTTCTGCTCTTGAAACTATGCATGAACCCATGTTCTCATCCTGACTGTGAAATTAAACCCTAAAATCCCTATAAAACAGAGTAACAACAAAAAACCATAAGGATGGTGACCTGATATTACTAAATTATAATGCACATTTAAAAACAGTTTGTTAACCATAATAATCGGGTAGTTATGGGTCTATTGACTCAAAACAAAAGAGTGCAGTCTAAATTTTACTGTGATAAAAAAGTAACAATTACGTTATGTATTTGGACATACACTCACTGTAGACAGAAAAAAAACAGTTTCTGCTCAGATGTATTTCTGTGCATATTGGACATTAAATGACCACTGTGGCCTTGTGTATGTCTCCACCCATCCTTTTCTGTGGTGTTACTCAAATATAAATGTAATACTGGACAGATCCTAACCTCCTACTGCTTCCTGTCACCTTGCATGGCTTCTGAGCTGCAATTTCAACCCGTGATTCAACTAGGAAACAAGGGCGCAATGAAGGGTGGACATGAATTGGTACTGGACTGAGCTTTCGTAAACATGGAGGGGATTCCTAACCGACTGGGAACAATCTCTGCTCTCCTCTTCATCGCCTATCTTTGTCCGGAGGTGGCTGTATTGACGGATGACATGGATAACGACTATTGCCAAATGGCTGAATCACAGCGCTCTGACAGTGGTCACAGAATCATGATACCCTACCAGTGTGTGTGCGCGTGTGGATCTTGAGGTTCTCAGAGCGTGCGAACATCTTGCCGCAGTTTGGGAATGCGCACGAGAAAGGCTTCTCCCCGGTGTGCACGCGAATATGGTTGATGAGTTTATATTTGGCTTTGAACGCCTTCCCGCCGCGTATACACTCGTCCCACATGCAGACATGACTGAGGGTCTCGAGCCCCGTCGCTACATGCTCGGTGGTGACGTGGTCCACCAGCTCGTGCATGGAGCTGAAAGTTTGGTCACAGACGGATGTCGATGTCCGCCCAAGCCTCTGTCTAGAAGAAGTTCGGTCGACCCATTTACATACTAGCTCGGTTTTGACGGTAGGGCCTTTGGAGAAATCCAGCAGGCCGTCCATCCCAGCACCAGTACCGCTTTCGGTGGAAGCGGAGATACTCGTAGCTCGCTGCTGGGGAGGTGAGACGATGCTCGAAGCCCCAGAGTTGTTGTTCCCCAACGGAGAGACGAGGCCATTGTGCCTAGCCACTACAGCCGTCCGCTTCATGCTCAGCACGGCGGGCTGCCCCGCTCCTGCTGCCAGCAACGATCCTCTTTTCCGCGGAAAATGAGTTTAGTCCAACAGGCAAAGGCTCACCGCTTCCGTGTTTCCTTCCTGTTCTATTTAGTGAGGGAAAAGCGCATGCGGCAGTGTCTTACCCCCCGCTGCTCAATGTTAGATCCCGAGAGCCTCCATGCTTTTATTTACTGTGTGGCTGTGAATGGAGGTTAACAGAGTCGAAGGAATACAGCTGGCCGCGTCCCAATACTTTCTAGCGGTGTCCCTATCTCCTTCCTTCCTTCTCACCTTTCCTCAGCCCCTTGAATTTAAACGCAGGGCAAAATGTTTTCCCCTAAGTGATAATTCCCTGTCGCTTTGTCCTACAGTAAACCATTGTTTGCACATCCGTCACAACGCGAATCTGTGTCACAATACCTTAGATCAGTGGTTCCCAATCTTGTCTCCTCCTATGATATCATGGCAGACCCCCATCAAGGCTACCACAGACAAAAAGTGCATTACTGTCAAAATCAGCCCATCAGTTTTAATGCCGTTGACATTTAAAGTGGGGATTTTTTTTAACTAACAAGCAGAAGTTACAAAATTATCAGGAAAATGTGTCATTACAACAGAGCATCTGGACAACACTGAAGAAGATTATATAAACGGTTTTGAGAATAAATCTGTAATATTATAAAAGTACTACAAGTTGTCTCAATCAAAATAACATCTACTGTAACAATAGAGGAGTTTAATTCAACAGCAAGGCAAATGGAGGCTGGAAAAGTTTTTCATGATTGATACAGAATCTTGGTACTTATGACAATCTGATGCTGATGTGCCAAGAAATGAAGTATTTAGTATTTTTTAAGTTTTGTTAAAATATAATTTCAGGTGCTCCATATACCTTTGTTTAGGTGACTGCAGCCTAATACTATATTCTTTCAAGATTGCAAAATCAGCGTGTTTTCTCTTGAATATTTAACTTAATTTTTGTAATATGGCTCTACCATGGTATTTTGCTCAAAGTACTACAACTTTATTCTTGTAAAATTACTATAAACTATACATAGATATATACTTAAAACTCATAATACTACAATTTAACATTCCAACCAATTGATCCTTACATTTTGACAATATTCTCAAAAGAAATTCTTAATAGTCAGGTGTACAATTAAGGGACCAAAAATAGATATTTGAAGCATATGTTTGTTTATTCTTGTTTGTACCACACAATTCTAAAATAAACCCTTTTATGGGACTTTGGATAGACTAAACAGTATGTCAAGGAGAAGTCTGCTGTTATCCATGTAATCCAGGAATTACTTGCTGAAAATACGGATTGCTATAAATAAAATATTTTTTAAGAGTAAAAACAATTACTCATACAGAAGAGTGAGTACATACCATTAACTCCTTTTTTGTGTTCAGCTATGCGGTTCCTCTCTGGTTAAATGAATGTCCTGGTAAACTTGAACTAACTTGATCTGGATCAGTTGTTTTGGGGTCTATGTTTGTTGGGTTATTTTAAAAAAGGGGGCGGTGTTCAGTCTGGTTGTCATAAAGTGTTGTAATCGTCCTCGTCTTCATGCTTCCTCTTCAGCGACTCTCCTCCGGCGTTCTGAGACACCATGTTGGTGGTGATGAGAATGTTCTTGGAGCCAATCAGAAACAGGTTGATGAGGACGTTGGGGACAGCGGGCGTGGATGGCGTCGTGGTTTTGGTGGTGGCTGTCTGAGAAGGTGGTGGGATCCGGATGGTGAACCTTTGACTTGTCACAGACACTGGAGCTCCAACTTTAGTGGTGATGGACTGAACAGATGGAGTCGGAGCATCCAAAAAACAAACAAAAAAAACCCAATTATATCATCTAGAACTGATAAGGGATTGAGGCTATAAAACTGTTAACTTTTGACAATAATTCACAGAATTTCGAGACAGTTTTTATTTGAATCTTGATGATTAAAGCTTACAGCTCATGAAATTCACTTTCACTCATTTCTGCTCTCAGTGCTTGGTTGGAGCTCCTTTTGCTTGAATTGCTGCATCAGTGTAACGGATCATGGAAATGATCAGTCTGTGTCTGCTGGGGTCTTACTGAAGTCCAGGTCTCTCTGATAGCTCCTTCAGCTGGTCTGTACTGTTGCTCTTGTATCTTTCATCTCTCTCCTGATGATCCTCCAGAAATCCTCTATGGGGTTCAGGTCAGACCAATTGGCTGGACAGTCAATCATAGTAATATCATGGTCAGTAAACCAGGTAGTTTTGGTACTAGGGTACAGGTCCTGCTGGAAAACCAAATCTGGATCTTCATTAAACTTCTCAGCAGATGAAGCATGAAGGTCTCTAAATCTCCTGGTGGACTTTAGGCTGTGTTGACTCTGGACTTGATCAAACAGAGCAGACCAACAGCAGCAGATGACACCCAAACCATCATAGACTGTGGGAACTTCACCCTGGACCCCAGAGACCTCAGAATCTGGGCCTCCCCAATCGTCCTCCAGACGCTGGGACCTTGATTTCCAAATGAGATGATAAATCGACTTTCACTTTAAAACAGGACTTTGGACCACTGAGAAACAGTCCATTTGTGCCTCTTCTTGGTTCAGGTCTGACTCTAGTGATGTTGTCTCTGGTCTCTCTTTGGTTCAGGGGTGTCATGATAGTAGGACCATGATACTTGTAGTCCATTTCCTGGACATGAGGGGACAATGATGGTCTTCTGGATAACTGTCAGGTCAGTGGTCTTCTCCACGATTGTGGTTGTGTACACTGGAACAGAGTGAGAGAATGAAGACTCAGTAAACACTGACAGGTGTTCAGAGTTCATCAGCTGATTAAAGCTCTTTTCAGGGCTGAAAGACCTGACAAGGAACTAGATTTTTACACAATGTTTTGATGTTTTTGAGATGGTGGATTTTTTATTTTCCTGAGCTGTGACCTTTATTCATCAAGATTAAAAAAAAATCTTTAAGTATTTCACTTTGTGTGTGATAAATCCAGAACATATGTTTTTGTGTTAGTGTAGTCACGCATTCACAGGCAGAAGGAGTAAACAATAAGTGAGCATGAGGATCAGGACTACTAATCGTTTAGGTTTCACTCCCTTCCAGAGGGGGGCAGCAATGCTTCTTGGAGTTGTTTTTGAACCTTGATTTAACGAAACAAAAAGAGGAAGAGTCACAGCTGAACGAAGCTCTCGTGATCATGCTAACCAGAGATGTCGGACTCTCCAGACGCACACAGCTTACTCTCAGCTTCTTCACAGCTCAACCTGATGGAGGTGGACGTGGTGAGAGACTTTGTCGTTATTGTAATGGTTAGCATTTGAAGACTACATAAAAATGAATTCTGTGCCCTCAACTCATCAGATGTTTCCTCGGCGTTGAATCGATACACCACCCAAACAGGCAACTGCTGTAAATTTCGCCTATCCTCCCACCCATATGTAAAGTGACCTTTTTGGTAGTAACGAACCCAGTAAATTTATGTGATCGGGTCGAAGGAGCCATACCTGCCCACAGGTAATCACTGTGAGGATGACTACTTGCAGTTAAAATTAAAAATGTTCGGTCCTAACTAAGTTTTTATGGACTGCCTGGAATTGAAAATGGTTATCTTATCTATATTAAGGCTTCTTTTGTAATTGCGCAAATGTAAAGACTAAAAGCTGTGTTTCTGAGGGCGGTCACGTGATTAAACTACAGCGCCAGACCTGGAAAGATTCAGCTTTTAGCCAACACTATATTCACACTTCGGCGATATACGGTGTTCAGTTTATATGCTATGATTGTGGTGAACTGCTTTGTTTTTGCCCGGTTTTTCAGGTAGTTTTAACCGAGTGCAGGACAGGTGTTGTCAGGTACTTCTAAACGTTACTCATTGACGTTCAGGTCTTTGACAGGTGTTGTACTGAGAATTACCTACTCATAGTTATACGGTATACAACATCACACATATGTGTTAATGTGTGTTCAGTAGTGTTAAAGCAGACATTAGCATTGAGCTGATATCCACACTCTGACATATGCATTGCATCTACCTGTTATTCGGTATAAAGGACCATCACGTGTCCAAACAGTCTTTGACCCCAAGAGGTCTTCCTATATTAAATTGAATACTCTACAAAGACAAGATATTTAATGTTCAAACTGATAAAGTTGATTGTTTGTTTGTCTGTTTTTTTTTTTTTTTTTTGTCATTTTTGAGGTTGATGCTGTAAATGGTTCCCAAAAAGCCGGTTCAGGGTCATGTTTCTCTCTGTGTTTCATCATCTTTCCTTTAACAACAATCAGTAAGCCTTGTGAACTGAGGACACTGTCTGTTGAAGCTTTGGAGCTGAATTCTGTCCTAGTCTTGCTTGATGGACCACTTCTGCTGCTCAACAGTTCAGGGTCTATTGTTGTATTTTGGGCTTCATAATGCTCCACACATTTTCAATGGGGAACAGGTCTGGACTGCAGTTAGGCTAGTCTAGTTCCTGGACACTTTGACTTTGAAGTCCTGCTGTTGTAATGCAGAATGTGTTTTCTTGTATTGAGACGTCCCTGAAAAAGACGGCTCTGATGGCAGCAGATGTTGCTCCTAAACCTGTCTGAACCTTTCAGCATTAATGGAGCCTTCACAGATGTGACGTTAGCCATGGACGAACACACCCCCAGATTTATAGACTTTGTTTATAAAGTACTTTTCATACAACAATCGTGTAACACAATGGGCTGCACTTGAAAAAGAAAAAAATAATATTAAGAAACCAACTCCCAGCCTCTACTCACCAATCCATAGACAGAGTAAAGAATATGTAAATGAGAGACTTAGTAAAAACAGGAGCTGATCTAACTGAGGAAACTGAACAAACACTATCATAAGATCTAAATGAGGAAACACTGGCGGTAGAATCAAATGTTCAAAGTCAAGATAGGATAATGAAACAACCAACATAAATAAGATAATAAAATAATAAGCAATGGCTCTAATACAAGAACATTAAAACAGAATAAATGACATTACCAAGTGCAACAGGTGATCCTGTTTGGGCTCCTGCTGCATCCCTAACCCAGGCATCAAAGACAGGATATTTACTGTAGCTGGGACATATCAGACCCAGATCACTTTCTTGCTCTGTGGTACATGTGTGAAGGGAAAAGACAGGCATGCTGCACACACTGGACACTAGAAATTAACTGGACAATACTCAGAGAGAACCTTACGAGAACAAAGCCCTTTACACAAATCATCTACAGTATTAGCTTCCCCATACTGCTTCACTTTGCAAAGAGTTTGGCTGTTTTGGCACCTTTATCTCAATGATGGGTTTCCATCTGTACAGCAGATGCTTCCTCATACATGTTGTAGTTTCATTTATCCAAAAAAACAATCACAAAATCTTCCTACTCTCGCAAGCTCTACCCAGGTGACACCCTTCACCTAAACCAAAGCATAATGAGTGTTGTAAGTAGAGACTAGAGTACCTTCAGCTGAGTGCTCCATGCATGCAGGAGAGGGTCTGGATTAAGTCTGGATGTTAGTCCCGGGATTGTCTTGAATTCATCTGTAAAAATGTATCCAACTTGACTTAACAGGGGAAAATCAAAGATTGGGGACTTATTATTAACAGCTTAGTTTAAATGACTAAATGAAGAAAAGTACACTCCTTTTACATATGACCTGCAAGATGGCAACTCTGTTAAAGAAATAGTAAAAGTAATCTGGTTTCTCAGCAACTTTTGAATGCAAAACAAAGACGGTTTCTGAGCAGTGTTTTGTTCTTGTTGACCACCAGCTAAATCATGCGACTGCTGCAGTGGTGCTGTGAGACAGGAGAATATTGCAGCTACAGTGGCGGTTTTCATACAGCTGATCTCTGTTAGGGAAAGTTCAGATCTGTTAAAAAGTTCAGATCTTTTACCTTGATTGGCTAATGTGACTTCTTCCTGACTCTCTTGTTTTTCTATATTCCTTGTTAGATTGATGATAAGGAGTTTGACATTCCCCAAGTTGACACGCCTCCAACACTGGAAAGTATCCTCAATGAGGTAGTTTCTCTCACTTTTCTGCATGTTTCAGTGTTTTATTCTCTCTGTCTGTCAGATAGTGTTTCAGCCAATAATATTAGCTACGTCTTATTTGAATAGATATAAATATCCAGACAGAACCTACAGTGAATAAAGTAGATTAAAAATGTTCTGTATGTCTGAACTTACCTACTAGGTCCCACTACTATGCATTCACTGTGAAGAAAAACAGATATGAGCCCGCCTGGGTGTCAGTAATCATTGTCTTTCATTGAATTACATTACTGATAAGTAAGTTGAGTCACATTAAACATTTCTAATCTGCATTTTTATTGCAGTCCAAACACATCTAGCAGACAGCAGGTGGCATCAGAGGGCTCTTACCTCTCTATGTGACATGGAGAGCCAGTTGTTGAAACTGAGAGCTACAGACAACATTCAGGAAAGAGAATTCAGTCAAGTCATCGAAAACAACTGCATTAAAGAGGAGCTCTCTTCCGGAGAGAGTTTTAAAGCTAGGACCAGAGCAAACCAACATTAAGATTAAAATAACAGCGAGAGGAATAAGCCTCTGTCACTTTGAAGAAGCTGACTAACCCAGAAGGTTGGCCTAAAGTGATGCTAATGCTTTATTCAGCCTGTCCTGCCTCCTTTCTCAGATGTTAGGATCAGGCCCGGCATGGCTGCAGACATGTACAACTAATTCAAAGCACTTCCAGGAAAAGAGAAATAACAGGAACAAAGCAGGGTCTGTGTGGAAAATGTCCCATTCATTCAAGTTAGCAGATGTACATAAATGCTTTATATTTTACCCAGTGTATAGCGGTGTAATATGTATGATTTTAAACTTGAAATACTCTTACCACTCCAGGCAAATTCTTCATCTATAGCCACTGACGTAAACAAGTGAAATGAGCAGATTGTTGGTTCGATTCAAAGGAGAAAGGACTGATTGAAAGCAAAGATATTTGTTTTTATTTGCTCTGTCTCTGTAGCTAGAGGGGGAGGAGGAACCATTTGTATTGGAAGATACCTGTGTACTGAACACAGACAACATTGATGCTTACTCCTGTGACACCTCCTCTCTGGCCAGCTCGGACAGTGGAGACCCTGCACACCTGAAACGGCATGAACACACACACACACACACGTTCTCATACACACACATTAAGAACTCTATGATCAGTATGCCAGGTATCAATATGAGCTCCACTACGAAGCTACTGAGAAATGTACCGAAGCTACTTACATTGCAGCTTGTAATGCCATTACTGACCGTCACTGATGTTTAACCAATTGTTCATTGTCTGCCTGCTCAATCAAAGAAAAAGACTTAGGTGATTTTTTTGTGTCTGTCTTAATTGTGTCTGTGTGTATTTGTATTTGGATGTGGACATGCACATATATGCAGGAAGAAAAGGACATTGGATTTGAATGCAGTAGTCCATGGGTCTGTTCTTCGACAAAGCCTGCTGAAGGGTATCTCTGCACAGATCGTCTCTGCTGCCGTAAGAATAGCACACACACACACACACACTGGAACAGTGGTTGTAAGTAGAAAAATGGGCGACCGTTAGGTCAATCAATTGCACTGACAAACCTGTAGCTCTTGTTGAGTTTGATAGAAAGGTGTTAGAACATTAGTACATCACAGTTTGTTGTGTTTGGGGCTACAGTCCGGTCAGGGTGCCCATTTAGACCCTGCTGCTGAGAGCATCTACATGTGAGCATCTAAAGTGGACCATGTAGCTGTGGATCATGACAACTGGACCAAGTGTTGATGCAGTCTTCTGAATGTCCTAGATCTCATCAATCCAAACTAAGGCTGCACGATATTGGAAAAAACTAACATTGCGATTTGTTTCAACCCTGCGATATATATTGCGATATTAAAAATATAGAAATTTTCACCAGATGACCTGAATAACATTTAATGTTTTGCTGCACCGCTGAAGTCTTGAGGACAGTTAACCTGCTCTGATCTCACCTCTTTTTGTGAATGTTAGTAGAATGGCTTCTGTCTGTCTCAGAGATATTTTTAGCTTTTATTGTGCTGGGACGTTGTTGTGGCGACAGATGAACACAGAACACGTGTTTTGGTTGACATCATCCTTCTTTTAACCGAAATAATTCCAGATAACTGACTTTCCTGTTCTTTTTGGCAACAAATCTTCATTTTCGGTGGTTTTCTCTTGTTCGTTGTTCATTTTGCAATCGTTGTTGTTGTTGTTAGCGGTGTTGTGCCGAGAAACACATGTCCTCCGAGAATTGCATGCACCTCTCAAAATGCGCACCGCTTATAGTAGAGTGGTCCACGGAAATATACATTTTAAAACCCATACAGTTCTTATTTGTTGGGCTTAACAGTCATGAGTAAAGTTCCGAAAGTAATTCTCAGCGGACACGCGTTTCTTGGCTCAACACCAGCAGCCAGCGACTAACTCCATGTGCAGAACATGTGCAGGGGTGGGTTTCCTCCTCTCTGATTTTGATTGACAGCTGGCAGGGTAGTCTGATTGGCAACTGAGAACTGAGTCTGATTGGCAACTGAGTAAAGGACAAAGGTGATTGGTGGATCGCTGCACAGCAGATGCAGAGTCACATGCAGTGTATCTCAGTCAGCTACCCTTGAAATTAACTGAGTTCATTCACGTCCGACATCGCAGGCTCTGCGATGTGACTATCGCGCACACACGTACATCGTGATGACGATGCTCAAACGATATATCGTGCAGGCCTAATCCAAACCCCACCTCACAATTTACAGAGCTTAAGGGATCTGCTGCCAAAGTCTTGGTGCTAAATATCACAGCACATCTCGAGAAATTTAGTGGAGTCCATGGCTGTTTTGGCCTGGAGCCTGCACCGTTTTAGGTGTTACATCTGTCGTACCTCAGACTCTGAAAAGTCAGGTGTCAGTTGCCAGAAACAGAGTATTACTACTAGGGGGTAACAGGAATGCTATCTGCTCCTTTGTGCAAGGAGGACCAGGTAAAGCATTACCAGAGGCCTACAAATGACCTCAGTAGACCACTTGTGTGCATGTTCTTTCTGTCCAAACTGTCAGAAACAGACTACATGAGGGTGGCATGCGGGCCCAACGTCTAGAAGTTGGGCCTGTGCTCAGAGCCCGGCACCATTTAGCCTGACTGGTATTTACTAGAGAACACTAGAAGTGGCAGATTGGCCAGTGGTGCCCCGTTTGAGTGATGGTTAATCATGGTGAGTGATGGTAAGGGAGGGGATATCTCACAGCAAAACTCTGGCTCAGACTCTTAGTAGCTGGAGTACATGCATAGAAGCTTTTGCTTGGATTGAATTGGTCAATCTGGTGGTGGAAACCTGGGTTGAGACTGTTAAATGTTGATTCAGATAAATAACAATGGAGTCTGTTAATACAAGGCAATAAACAACATTTGATATTTGCTACAGACTGATTGGTATAAAAAGCAGAAGGTTTGGGTCATACCTCAGAGGGGAAAGTTGAAAGATTGACATTATCCTGTGTCCCCAGATGAGGGATCTTTTCTGTGGTTCGTCTCTGCTAAAAAACCCTTGTATCTTTTTTTTTTTCAGGACAAGGTGGATGCTGGACTGCCCACTGCTATAGTAAGTTTCCCCTTTATCAAACAATACGTTCAGCTTTTTCTGTTATACCTTTTTTTTGCTTTGCTTCTTTGATCAACTCTGAGCTCTACGTTTTGTTTTGCTGTTTAGACAGTGTCAGGTGTAATTGCTGTGGGAACGTCTCATGGTCTGGCTCTGGTCTTTGGTAAGTCTACTCTAATCACACCCTGGCACACACAGTGGTACATGTGCATTAATCAATCAATAAGCATTGTATTTTTTTTCCTTATCTAATTCAGACAGGTAGATTTTCAAATATGATTCATATGTTTGTGGCATGTCAAAGGAGGTATTTTGAGTCTATTTCTGTTTGAATTTTAATGAATTTTGCCCTTAGCTCATGAAAATCAGAAATCCAGTCTCTAACATGATTACAACAGTGTCCAAAATCAATCATAAATATAGCAATGTAATGTTAAACTTCTGACAAGTCTGTCCATTTATACCCTCAGTTATTGATTGGGGCTCCTTTACCATGAATCCCTGCAGTCAGGCTGTAGCTCTGCAGTTTCAATGAGATTACAGTGATCAAAGATGTACTCCAGTATTCAGCTATTTTTGCCTTTGTATGTGATTTATGACACTCTCTGATCCTCTCTAAAAACGTAAGAATAAAATCTTTTGAGAAGAAAAGAGCCTTTTTGGTTATCTGTGTTTTTTCTATCTTAATAGCTGAAAATGAAAAAAGGATTCCTCTTAAAGAGGGTACGAGTCATTTTTAAGTGGGGGAAAAAAAGCTTATCACATGTTAAGTTCTTCATTGCATTGTTGTAACATGAAGCTGGGAATGTAAAAATATCAACTGCTGATCAAGTCTGATTAAGTCTGAAATGAATGAGTTAATTTACTGCTGTGGTGTGTCTTGGGTTTGGACTGGGACCCGGCTTGAGATTTTTGACACCTGTCTCTTTTGTAATGCTGACTTAATGATCCCTTGGCAGGAAAAGGTATGAACATCACTATACAGTGGCTGACTGATGCATTTTGTTTCCATTTTGTTAAACCTAACTCGCTCTGACTGGGTCATTAGTTGTGTCCTGTTGTTTTGCTGACTTTTTTTCATGCATGCTTTGTTGCCTGATTTTGGTATATGCAAAAATGTTTGCAGCAGCAATCAAACTAAAGCTTTCCAGCTCCTCAGTTCATGCCGATTTGTTGTCTTTTAGGGCTCTGTTTTCGTGCCTTGCCGGCAGCGACTATTTACTGAATATTGAATTTATTGCTGTTTCAGCTGTGTGAATTCAGTCAGGTTGAGTGGCCAAATGCGTGCCAAACGCGCTTATCAGACAAGATATTGATCAGAATTTATCGATATAGATGTATGTGCTGACTCAGATAGTTGCACTGAATATTGGTTGTTGTTGATTATTTATTGCACCGAAATGTGCCTGACACTGTGAAAACCTGCTGGTGAGGCATCAGTGACGTATGTGCACTACGCTGCCAGTCTACTAAAATACCACGAGACCAGCTGTGCTCCGCCTGCACTTAAAGCTGACCAGGTTTTAATCGGCGAGCTTTCAGTGCACTTTCCATGCCTCAGTCACTGTGCCAGCTGATTCTGTCGACACCTCCCCCTACCCCGCCACCACGCCCAGCTTGGCAGACCTCGGTGCGCCTCAGTCTACGAAAATACCAAACTGGCTGTGCGCTGGGTTCTGCCAGACAAAAATACCACTGCGCGGGGTGCACCACCCTTTGCCACGCCGCCAGCAGGCACGGAAATAGAGCCCTTAGTGTCAATGTGCAGATTTATTCAGTTATTTCTTTTTAAAAGCTCATAAATGGCAAAAAGGTTGGATATTTCTCTGTAATTACTGAACCTTTCTAACCCCCCCAAGTCTATCCTCTTGCCTTAGCACTTCATTAGTTCTTCTTTTTTTCCTCCAGATAACAACCAGGCTCTGAGGCTCTGTCTGGGCACCAAGTCCACTGGAGCAGAGTTTGGGGCTGTCTCTGCACTCAGCATCAACCATGATTGCTCACGACTTCTCTGTGGGTTTGCCAGAGGACAGGTAAACACTAAAATATACAGATGTAATATACCCCATTCAAATTCTACCTTTCAGCACTCTCCTGGTAACAGGCTTCAACAGCAGCATGCTTAAAAAAAAGTTAGAACTAAATCACACAGATCATGTATTGGTCATGATCATGACAATAAACATCCTCTGCTGTGTGATTCATAGTCCGTGGGTAGAGAACTCTTTGTACAGTCCAGTATTCAGCTTTTAGGAGTGAGCAGAGTTTGTCAGTGGATCTCCCTCTTGAATCGTCTTGATCTGTGACAAAATTATCCATACCTGAATAAGAAAAAAGGTCTGCGACATCCCAGTTCATCTGTATCCATACAATGTGTTTTTATGTTTATATATACATGTACACCATGTTTTTGAAATGTGTTATTCATTATAGACTATTTTGTTCAGGATTTCTGTCTCAAATCTTGGGATTTATTTTCTGAATGTTCATGGTTTAGATAACCATGTGGGACCTTGCCAATGGAAAGCTCCTGAGAACTATCAATGATGCCCATCCTCCAGGGACAGCTATACTGCACATTAAAGTAAAAATACACACACACACACACACACACACACACGCACACACACACACACACACACACACACACACACACACACACACACACACACACACACACACACACACACACACACACACACACACACACATACACACATTGCAGCTACCCCCAGTGCTACTTACTCATTCACCGCCATAGACTGTATATAGAATGGAAGCCGTCTGCCTCCTTGTTGGGTGAAGCCACCGCGAGTACAGCACCCTCTGGTGACAGGCTGCAGTATAGGTCACAGCCTCTGGGTGTATGAAGATTGCATAGCTAACTCGGGGGATGTTTGAGCCGAGCTTTATCACAGCGACTCTGGGCAACTCTCCTGCCAAATGTGTACTATGCTACTTTGCATAGTGGTGGTTCTAGGAAGTGGAGAAAATCCCGGAAATACCAAGAGCAATTTAGCTTCAAATTCATATAATGACGGAAGGTGGAACCAAGTTGTCCATAGTATATACAGTCTTTGTTCAGTACTTCAGCAAAAACAGTTAAAAACAAACAAACATCATCTCCTGGGTGTCAGAAACTTATTTCTATGTCATTATGTTATCAGTTCACAGATGACCCAACTCTTGCAGTGTGCAATGACAGTGGAGGATCTGTTTTCGAGCTGGTTTTCAGGTAAATGATAATAACAGTTTTTGAACGTTGAAATTTGTCATTGTGGTAAAATCGTTGTTGGACATTATGAGACTGACAGTTCATCCCAAATGGATGAACTTTCATGTCAAACTCAATGTGTAAGGGTAGCGTTGGGTGAAGCACAGTTCCCTCTTCATGATAAGTATTAGTCTAGATGAAAAAGAGAGGAATTATGGAGTTCATGAAGGCCTCCTCACCTAGGATTTATTAAAATCCTGGATATCTGCTCTCGTCTGCCTCAATAGTATTCCAGCAGATCTATTGGCAGTATTGAAGTAAATCCCACCCTTATACAATGCATATACACCATCTCAACAGGCAACAGTTTTTCTGAAAGCATGATTGACTACATCAGTAGTCAACACTAAGACCTTACCTTAAGGTTACATCCCTGAACCCTCCCACCATGATTGTTCCTACGGTGTTTGTTGCAGCATATATTTTGGAGATGACCTTTAGCTGGGTGGCATGAGCCCTTTGTAGGGTTTTTTGGCCTGTGGGTAATAAGTGTATTACACTAGAGTTGAAATAAATGTTCTTGAACCAAATCACCATGTTTATCATCATTAACTCTGTGATCAGCTGACAGTGTGTTTGTAAAATTGAAAAGCTTTCTGTGGAGTGTGTCTCAGTTTTCCACCCACAGGCTACAGGCATCTCCACCTACAACTGTGTCCCAGAGTTAAAACATGTCTGTTGTAATTTATGCAATTTGATGCTCTTTGTGCAGTTATACATGCAATTCAGGTTTTTTTTTTAATTCATTTATACATTCATCAGATTTTTCCAAGAATGAGAAGTGAAGCACAGCTCTTACTACTCTTGTATTTCTGATAATTACCTGTCATTTTCTTTGTTTCTAGGAGGCTGATGGGCATGCGTTCCTGTGACTCCCGGTGTCTTTTTAGTGGTTCCAAAGGAGAGGTCTGCTGCATTGAACCATTACGTACTCCTCCAGACTTCAGGGATCATCCCATCACACACTACTCCCTGCTGGCTATGGCCTCTCTTACTAAAGTGTGAAAACACACACACAACCCCATTCACAGTTGAATCTGTGTTTTGTGTTCATTCATCAAACCGGATCAAATGTAATGTTTCTGCATTATCTCTCTTCTCTCATCAGATTTTGGTCATTGGACTGAAACCTTCACTTAAAGTCTGGATGACATTTCCTTACAGCAAGGTCATTATTTGTTTTTTTATTTATTTATAATCATAAAGATAAAAAAAAAAATTAAAATCCCCCCTTATTTTAACAAATTGGGGAGGACTCCCCTTTCCCTTTTTAAAGGATGAATTTGGAGTCCATGCCTCACACTGTGAATTTACTGATAGTGTGTCACGTTTGACACTACAGATGTCAACATTAATTCAATTAAATTCAATTCAGCTTTATTTATATGGCACTTTTCGTACATAAGGAAATGCAATTCAAAGTGCCTCACAGAAGCTAAAAACAACAATGAAGACAAAAACCCAACCCTTCCACCCAAACATACACCCATGGACCCACATGCACACAAAGACACACACTCACCCTCACTCACCCACACATACACACACACACACACACACACACACACAACCGCACACAATGTGAGAATTTACGATATAAGTCAAAGAGACATGGCCTGACACTGAAACATTACATGAGGAAAAAGCTACCTTCAGGAAACACTGGAGATAAAAATAGAGATAGAAATGGTGAAAAGAGTAAAGCCTGATGGACTAAAATAAGAAAATAATAGTATTAAATGAACAGATAAATAAAAGGGGTAAAAGAAGTAAAAGCCTGTGATGGGAAATTTAAAAAAAAGGCTAAGAACAGAGATAATGAATAGAATGACATAAAATAAACATTAAGAACTTTGATTAAAATGAACATTTGCAATAATAGAAATATAAAATGGCAATTAGTGAAAGGCCAGGTTAAAAAAGTGAGTCTTGAGTCTCTTCTTAAAAATATCAACAGTCTCTGCGGCCCTAAGGCTTTCCGGCAGGCTGTTCCACAACCGGGGACCATAAAAACTGAAAGCCGCCTCCCCGTGTGTTTTTGTTTTGACTCTGGGTAAGGTTAAAAGGCCTGTGCCGGAGGACCTCAGGGTCCACGAGGGTTGATATGGTAAAAGTAGATCAGATAAATAGGAGGGCCCAAGACCATTAATACATCTAAAAACTAATAAAAGAACCTTGAAATCAATCCTGAAACGGACAGGGAGCCAATGCAGCGATGCTAAAACTGGCGTTATATGCTCCCGCCCTCTGACCCTTGTCAGCACTCTTGTAGCTGAATTCTCTAATAGCTGAAATGTCTTTAAGTTTTTCTTTGGGAGGCCAGAGAGCAGGGCATTACAATAATCTAAACGAGAGGAGAGAAAAGCATGCATCAGCACCTCCGTGCTGGCCTGAGAGAGAAACGGGCGGACCCTGGCTATATTCTTAAGGTGGTAAAAACCTACCTTTGCCATGTTTTTGATGTGTGGAATAAAACTGAGCTCAGAGTTGAAAATTACACCCAGGTTTTTTTATAGATGTTGATACTTTAAAATCTTGTAGTTTTGGTAAAAGTGTCTCTCTCAGGCCTTCAGGACCAATAATTAAAACCTCTGTTTTGTCCTGGTTGAGCTGCAGGAAGTTGGCTGCCATCCAGGACTTGATGTCTAAAATGCAATTTAAAAGGGCATCAATTGGCCCACTATCATCAGGAGACACGGACATGTACAGTTGCGTATCATCAGCATAGCTGTGGAAGCTGATGCCGTGCCTCCTGATGATGTCCCCCAGGGGAAGCATGTAAAGATTAAAAAGAGTTGGACCTAAAATTGACCCCTGGGGAACCCCACACATAATTTTATGGTCTAACCTTTATTTGGACTCTTCAGATAGAACCAACAATGACTAATAAACAATCATAATCACTACAGCTAAAAGCAGTGGATCTATTAAAGGTGCTCTTTATTACCAACATGCTTTTACTTTGCTCTTAAATTTACTGTATTTTCCTCTGAGCGGCATTTATTTTCTTTAATAGTCTGTTTTATACCCAATAATGTGGTTATTGATAAAGACAGGGAAGCAGACACAAAACTTAGCTTTTTATTCCAACAATTACAGGTAGGAAATTTTTGAGGTCTCCCACTGATATAATAAAATATTGTTTTTTTTCCCTTTCCAGTCAGATCCATCCAGCGTTCCTCAGCTGGCCTGGCAGTTTGTTCCTGCTCAGAAGACTGTCAACCCAGTACTGGCTTTCTGCAAAGGAGACACCGTCCACTTCCTCTTGGTATATAAGTAACTCTTTTTTTTTTTTTTCTTTTTTAGCAAGTCTGCCCATCAAGCTCCTGATCAATAGGTCAGGTATGGGTTGTAATGTATTATACATTAGTGCAAAATAAAAAAAAAAACACTGGAATTCTGTTGTTAATGACACATTAACTCTCACAACTTTTTCATTACTTGGTGATAAAGCTTAATAAAAAACACACTATATGTTTAATCTAAAAGTTATAATTTAAGTCATAATATTTTACACAGATAGCTGTTTTTTGACATTTTGGCTTGTTCTTTTGTGGGCTTTTAACAGAGAGGGTGTAAAAATGTATAAATGAGATGATAAAAGGTTTTAATGTTTTAAAAAATTAGGACAGTTGAAGTGTTTTTGTCTGACACTTTACTTATAGACACAAAATTCTGATTATAAGTTCTTATCAATTGAATTTCCCCTCAGGGATCAATACAGTTTGTCTTATCTGATCTTATTAATGTGTTATAGGGTCATATAATTATTAATTACCTCATACAGAGCTGCCACTTTACTTAATATAGCTCTGAGTCATGATTTAAAATGTTTTGAGTTTTAATAAAACACTTTCTGAAAGCAGAATAAAAGAAATCATTACTTTTTTTATGATGCACAGAAAAAGTTGCATACGAAACTTTATAACAGCGTACATTTATTAGAGTTATAATTTGTTATTTAATCCAGAATTCGAAGACTCTGATTTCAATTTTGCATTCAAGTTGAACACATAATAAACCATAGCTTTATAAGTCATGATGCTCACTGTTTATAATAATTCATAAACATTACTATAAGTTGTTATGAATGTGTATAAGCATTTATAAGGGTTGTTATAAAGCTGTATAGATGTCTTTGTGAGGCTTTATGAATGTACTGATTATGCATTTAAGAGGAGGGTTCATGTAAAGTATTACTGGATTTTTGTTTTAATTGTTATCACTGTTTTTCTCTTTTTAAAGTGAACTCATGTGCCTGTATACTGAACTGCTTATTGTTGAAGCAGTGCTGTGTAATGTGCTTCGGTGTGTGATGTGAGAGTGAAGTCTGTGAGCTCAGCTGTCTGTAATATCTGAAGCTCCTCCTTTTCACTTCAGTTTTTTTTTTCTTTTTTTTTTTAATGTAGGTAAAGAAGGAGGAGACGGGGACCATCCATGTGATCAAACAAAGACAGCTCCACCTTACCTGTGACATCATTAGTCTCAGTGTAAGTACCTGACAGTGATACATGGGGAGAGTGTTTCCCAGGTTATTTACATTCTCTTCATTTTAGTCCTGGTCTTTTTAAAGAGTAAGAGATAACACTATTCCATGGAGTATCTAAGTTATAGCAGTTTACCAGACCTTATGTTCATCCTTTGACCAACACACAGGTTCTCTCTGCCTCTCAAGCATATGAGAAGCACATTCTCATCCACCTCTTTAAGTTGCATGACTTAGTTTGAGGTCAGGTTAAATTTGAGCCACTTCAGGGTTTTTTTCCTTCTGATTGCAAAATGGCACACAGACTCTGAAAGCACCATGGAAACAGGCCCATTGATGTGGAAAAGTAATATGTACACCAATCATAATCAAATACATTACTTAGATTGTTACTCATATCTTCTTCATTCATTTAATTTGTGGCAGTTATTGATGCACCGATAAGTCACACACAAACACATTAATTGAGCATTGATGAAGGTTAATCAGAGGAACAGAACTGTAAAGTGTCAGCTTGCCATTGACCATTGTCAGAGCTCTGTTCTGTTTGAACCAGTACAGTGTGTGCACATAAGCTCTGCTTCAGTCATGTAACCTGAAGGTGAGTTCAGTTTCCATCAAGACATTTAAGAAACTCGGAGCGTATGCCCAGCCTTACGTTTGGCTATTAAAACCAACACAAATTTTCATCTTAGGCTTAAAGCTAATCTGTTTCAAAGGGAAAATGTAGGAGTTAACAACAAGATTAAATAGGACCAGTTGAAGAAACCAGCCCCCAGCTAAGCTTGGTCTTCGTAAAGACTTACAACTACATAGAAGTGAGATCATCTCACCTTTGATAGCCAGAAATGACACCCCTACAACAGTGGCAAGTCCCACTCCAGTAGCCACACCATATATTGGTCCCATGCATTGTGGATTACTGAATTTTATTCTGCATTAGGAGCCTAGAGATAAAAAATTCACTGTGGTAAGTACCAGGGAGGTACAACACTAGTTAATGATCTTAGGTATGGCTTATGTATGAGTACAGACTATCAGTAACACTGAATATAAACACACCTTTCATAATGTATCAGAAGCACATTGATAAAGCCTTATAAATACATCTATAAGTCTTAATAACAGAGCTTTATAATATAACTTATCATGCATTATATCTTCATGCAAAAGAAAAAACAAACTGTCTTAAATTTATAACTCACCCAACTTCACCCTGTTATAAAGGTTTATAAAGAAACTCACTCTGTGTACCATAAAAAATTCGTGATTTCTTTTCAGAAAGTGTTTTATTAAAACTCAAAATGTGTTAAATCATGACTCAGAGCTCTTTAAGTTCAATGACAGCACTGTGTGAGGTTATTAGCAATGATACGTATATAAAGTGCCAGACAAGAATACTTCACAACATAAATACATCTTTACAATAGCGAAGTTTTACATTAAAGTATATATAATTGTTATTGCCCTTGGTATCAATAAACACAGCGTTGCGTTCGACTGGTACAGTCTTGAATCCTTGTATGAGTACAAGTATTTGAATATTGGTATTTTAAACACAACTTTACTACTAAAACAACTACAGTTTTCCTTAAATTCATGATTACATTTCCTTAACACACACACACACACACCGTACCATTTACATAGAACAATTTCCCCCAACATTATTAATACCACGCACAGCCAAGTAAGTAAAGTAGACCTACGCAAGTAAACCTACAATACAAACAATAACACGCCACTCGAATAATTTCATACCACCTACCTCTCTTTGCCTACCAAGGGTGCAAACTGGATATAAATAGCCTCGACCCCAGACCAACTGCACCCAATAATAAAAACAAAATATCAACTAGAAAAGCACTCGGAGAGCGCAGACCTCCGCCAAGCAGCTCATGTCCCCCCTTATATTGTGATTCACACCAAAACTCTTAGTGTTACGTGTCTTTTATTAACTTTTATTTGTTTTTAAACTGGTATGTTCACTGTTCATAATGCTCCTAAAACGAGAAATGCCCTGACCCGGATTCAAACCCAGGACCTTCTTACTGTGAGGCAACAGTGCTAACCACTACACCCTGTGCTGCCCATCTACACCACTGTGCCGCCCATTGGTTATCTTTCAGCATTGAAAATTCCAACGTCACCCTTATTTTTGTGTGTTCTGGATCACAGAATCTGGAATTTTGTCTGGATCAGGATCAACCTTTGACACCTCATAAAACTCATTGAGATCCTTTTGTGTAATTTTTTACTAAAGACTCAGGCCATTTTTATAGAGTTAAATGCAAAAATTCCTAAATTTGCCCTATCTCACAATGATAAAGAATCCTTCAAAAAATTCCTGGATCCAAAAGGCGATCCGGATCACCACCAAAATGTAATGGGATCGTCCTGGGGCTGAGACGCACCTCTGGTGAAAATTTCAGGTCAATCCGTCAGTAACTTTCTCCGTAAAGTTGTTCACAGACAAACAAACAAACAAACCAATGCTACCGAAAACATAACCTCGTTGGCGGAGGTAAAAACAGGTATATGCTGGGCTTATTGTTTGTCATAGACAGCCAGAAGACTTAAGTTTAACTTTCCTTTGTTTAACTACACTTACTTAAATCATTTCCTCTCTCAACAACAGCCTGCTCATTCATGTCCATTTTTGTGTAGCAAACCTGGTGTGTGGCAAAACTGCCGTGTGACGTCACTATTTAACCCTTTTTTTTTTCTTTCAAACTTTACAGGGTGTGCCAACCCTGGATGTGAACAAATCAGCTCAGCTGGCCACTTACAATTATGAATCATTATTTTTTTTATGCTCACTCATTACACTCTATAAGTATTGCTTAAAGCTGTTTGTAATACTATTATCACCCATAAGGATTGTCATAAAGCCGTACAAATGTATTGATGAGGCTGAATAAATGTGCTCTTGGTGCACAGAAGATGTGGGTCCAGGTGGTTCGCAGAAGTCCAAAGTGCTTGACTCCTTTTTTTCCCTGTCTCTTTGTCTCTGCAGTGGATTAACAGTCGCACCCTGGTCCTGGTAGACAGCCACGAAAAGCTGCAGGTTGTGGACCGGCCTAGTCAGGAGGTTTTGGAGACTTTGGATTTAGAGCAGGTGCAGCTGGTCTACAACAGTCGGCATTTCAAATCTCTGGCTACTGGAGGGAATGTGTCTCAGGCACTGGTGAGGGATTAGGTAGATGGGGTTCATTATTTATTTACATCAGGAGCAATAGTAAAGTTTAATATCCAGGATCCACAACAATTCTCACTTAAAGCGGTGGTAAGGATTTGGATTTGGTAGGTGGGAAGATGTTCATACATATAGAACTCTAGAAACTTGAACATTTAGCAAATATTATTAGTAAGAAGATTAGAATGATCAGATTAAAACAATGGTGGCATTTAAAATAAGTCTACACATTAAGTGAATAAGTATTGGCAAATGGAGTATATTGTACTTAGTGCTTTTGAAGCCTTCCCACCACTCAAAGCCTTTTGCACAACATACAACATGCTACATTCACTGTTTCACACAAATGCACACATTAAGTTCATACAACTGCAAAGGACCAGAGCACATAACACACAGAGACGTGGACTTTTGGGGAGTAATATGAGACTGTCCAAGGAGACTGTGACGTGTACAGCAGGAGTTGGCAAACGCTGATCTCCCAGTACGGACACAAACCTTCCTCTCTTCCAAAAAGATACTGAAGAGATACTTTTTCTTGAACAACCACTCTGAATTTTAGGATCTAAAAGTCTCAGATCATTATATGATCTCCTCCCATGGGCTGATTTCCCAAAAGTCTCTCTGTACCTTTATAGTGTCCAACAACCTCAGCTACTCCTTCTCCATGTAAACTTCAACAGTTTCTACACAAGCTGTTGAGATCCAGCCACAGAATTCAATATAATATCTTCAATACTAAAACATTTTCTCCTTTCTCTCCTTATTCTTGATTGTTTTAATTATTATCTTCTTTTTGAAATCTTTTCTTTCTGGTCTTTGTTTGTTTATTGTAAATTACACCACTCTCTGGGACAGAGGGGCGGATGGGAGGCTATCCTTGAGTGTTTCACGTGTTTGACTCATTTTCATGTTTGCTCAAACAATTTCAAGGAAAAAAAATCAGACTTTGTTGTTGTTAATAGCATACTTCCTGCCCTTACCATGTTGTGAAATTTGACTATGAACCTTTTTTTAATTCTAGGAATGTTCAAGTGAACAACTGTTGGTTTATGTTTAATCTCAAAGTATTTAAACTCATTTAAACTTATATAAAGTCTGTATTGGTCAGTAAAAATAAGTTTATTTTTTGTTGACGGAAGTTTTGTGTCTAAACAGTCTGTTTTTGTTCAAGGCTTTGGTTGGAGAGAAGGCATGCTACCAGTCGGTCTCAAGCTATGCAGGGCAGATCGTCTACTTGGGCACCAAGGTTGTCTCTCCCGTGTTTTTATGTGTCAGATTTGTCATCTGCACACAAAACTGCCGTGTGTGTGTGTGTGTGTGTGTGTGTGTGTGTGTGTGTGTGTGTGTGTGTGTGTGTGTGTTGTTGGGGGGGGGGGGTATCTGTGTCTATTGAGACTTTTCTCTGACTTACAGGATCATGTCAGTAGAACAATCTTTGAGGTTTAATCAGCTTGAAATTTACAAAGATACTGAAGTTGGTTCATAAAGGTGTGAAACAGAGAACCTGATTTGAGGTCTGGCTGTGGCTTAAACTTGCTCGAATCCTGGCCTGAACACATTGAAATGGTGGTTTTGGGGGATATTCACAGCATCCTCTGGTTGCAGTTATAGCTTTGTAGGGGGAGTTGCCTCCTTGTAAAGCCCAGGACAAATTTCCCAACGGAATAATAAAGTCCATCTTAATATAGTTTCATTAAATAAGCTCAGAAAAATCTGAATGTAAAGGTCTGACTTTAAAGTGAAATCTTTGAGGCCACAGCAGAGGATTTAAAGAAACTTGAACTTGAACTTGAGAAGTCTGCCAAAAAATGGTAAAATTTAGGATTTAGTGGGCTCCTTCATGGAATCATTTCTCTTAAGCAGTGAACCCAATTCCTTTCTAATTTAATGTACATTTGCAGGACACCTAAAAACTGAGATGATCTAATTTTTGCACAAAACACAAAGGGCATAGCTGTGGCACTTAGTCAAGTGTTGATGTCTGAGACCCTTTAGCCTGTGCAGGGAGTGGCACTTGGATTAATAGGAGGTTAAAGTGGTCCATCTCCAGCTTTGATGAAGTGCTACAGTAGACATTTATGGGGAGGACTTGTTGCCTCAGGAGCAAAGCTAAAAGTCTTGCTTTAAATTTAACATACAGGGACAAAACTTGACATGTTTGATGGAAGTCTTCCTCTGATTAAACTCTACATGTGTTATAGTTATACAGCCACTTATTGGTGAGTGACATTAAGCACTAATCCCTCCTGGTAACCACTGAATGTAATATTTGTGTTAAAGTTAGAAATAGCCTGGCATGAGCTTCATGAACTTTGTCTCTGATTAAGCGTTTTCCTGTTTTTCAGTCAGCACACATCATGACTCTCAGAACCTGGAGAGAGGTAAGGGTGATAATTTATACCCTACAAAAAAAGCACAACTGAGGATTACATTTTAAAACCACAGTACATCTCACAGCATAATCATGAGAGGATCATGTAAGCAGATATTACAGAGTATGAAGCTGATTCAGATGATTTAAAGGAGAACTGATAAGTTTGCTGGCCAAGTACAAAAAAAGGTACAATAGAGGATTTCAGTGAAAGCTAAACCTGTGAATATGTCCTGTGTGTCTCTGTCTCTGTTCAGCGCATAGACTGTCTGATGAAACAGGAGCATTTTGTCGAGGCTCTCTCTCTGGCCTGGTCCTTTCATGAGGGAACAGCTAAGGCTGTGGTTGGTGGGTAGAGTACATATTGTACTTCTCTTCTTGCATCCTTAGTTTTGTCTTCATATCTCCACTGTGTATTTTTATATATTTACGGAAGCACACACACACACACACATATATATATGTATTTATACACACACACAAACACACGCACGCACACACACATATATATGTATTTACACACACACATATATATATATGTATTTATACACACACACACACACACAAACACACGCACACACACATATATATGTATTTACACACGCACGTGTGTGTATATATATATATATATACATATATATTTTTATATATATATATATATATATATATATAAACATACATATATATATAAACATACATATATATATATATATATATATATATATATATATATATATATATATATATATATATATATATATATATATATAATATTTCTTGACATGGCACATGGTCAAAACTTGTGTGTTATGTAGATGCCTAACCTAGACTCAGCAGACAGGCTTATGACCTCACTGATGTATGTTTGTCCTAGGCCTATTTGGAGATCCAGTGAAGAGGAAGAGAGTGGTAGCTGATACGGTAAAAACAAAAAACTTCTTCCTCAGCATGAAATCAGTCAACATGAAACTGCACCCCAAACACTTGTGTATTTATTGTTTTGTTGTGTTGCTTTGTGTTGTGTGTCCTCAGATGGTAGAGCTCGTTTTCCAGTTTGCAGAGCATGTTTTAAAGAAGTGTCCAGAACAAGGGAAGATCCAAGTAATGGAGCAACATTTTCAAGTAAGTGTTTTGTTGGATGGGCCTGAACTATTTTCTTCACTGCTTAACACTGCTCCCACTAATACCAGCACTGCAACATTTGTTCTATATGGGCTTACAGAAAACGTATGTGCTGCTTATAAAGGAAATATAAGTGTTCAGTCTGCCAGAGTATCCACATACAAACATGTTAACAGTACAGTTTTGAAGGTCTTTGAAAAACAAGTGTGGCAAACCCAGTTCCCCAAAAGGAAAGAGACTATGATGGTTTGCAAATAATTTATTTCCTACACTCAGTTGACAAAGTGCAAAGACTATGGTGTTAAATTTGTGATTAAGGGCAAGCATGTTCAAATATGCTAATGAGTAGACATTTGTGTGTCAATTCAACAACCAAGCTGTTAATTGGCAGCACTGCTCTGCTCCTGAGGCTGGGTTCTGCTCACCAGTCGACCTGCTTTTGACAGAAAACCTGAATCTGTTCATGAACACAGAATAAAGAGGTATTCACTAAGAAGAAGCACAGTGAAATTACAAAACCTCTTTTCAATGACTCAGTGGTGAACAACACTGATGTTGATGTTTCGCTTAACCCAATTCAGCTGTGAAGGGAAAGTAAACAGTCAAAATCTGGTTTTGATGTAAACTCTATATCTCAGTCTATATCTTTTGATAAATAATGCTAAATCTACACACTGCACCTTTAAGCCAAATATATTGATTTGCATACTGTCCACAGATTTGTACATGGCTTTGTTTTTGTAACCCAGTTACATATATTTCACATATTTATACATACTTAGTCCGCAGGTAACATGCAGACTAAGAAACTCTGACACAAAGCTACACAGAGAACAAAAACAAATAAGAATAAATAAAACTGTTACTTGAGTGTCAAACACCCATCAGCCTTTCTCTCTTTCCAGATATTAATCGCTGCTCTGTCTTCTAAACAATGTCCGTTTCTTGTCCCCCTATCTGTCCCTCTTGCAGACTCAGACGATGTATCAGCTTTTCCACGATCTAGATTTCTTCTATTATTTCAAACCGTTCTTTTTTTAGTTGGTGGTTCCACCTTACCCCATTTCCTTGTAGTAGCTTTTGTAACAGCTGACAACAAAATTTTAACAAAACATCTATCCTCTGTTTGAACTTTTCCTTCAGGAGAATTAAAGTTACAAAGACTGAGCACCATCTAGTTCAGTGATACATCATATCCCAGTATCACCTGTAAAGGTCCTAACACACCAGGCGCGAATTCACCAGGCGAATTATTCGCCTTTTTTTAAAACAGCATAAAGTCAATGCAAGCTTCCACACCGGCGGCGATTTTTCCACTGGGCGAAAAGCGTCTTTTATTTTTTCGCTCTTGTGTTGAATTTTTCGGAGATTCGCAGGCGAATATCTGGACCTGCTAGACCTCTGGCCAATCAAAAGTCATGTTGTTGATGACGTCACAGACCCATGTGGCTGGAGTTCACACGACACACACCGTCACTGGCACCAAGAGCAACGATGGGAGAGAGGCTGGTAATTGTGGTACAGGACCACCCCGCGTTGTGGGACCACAGCGACTTCCATGATAAAATTACTGTGATGTCATCAACAACATGACTTTTGATTGGCCAGAGGTCTAGCAGGTCCAGATATTCGCCTGCGACTCTTAGAAAAATTCGACACAAGAGCGAAAAAATAAAAGTCGCTTTTCTTCCCGCGGAAAAATCGCCGCCGATGTGGAAGCTTGCATTGACTTTATGCTGTTTTAAAAAAAGGCGAATAATTTGCCTGGCGAATTCGCGCCTGGTGTGTAAGGACCTTGAGACAGGAAGTACCAACTTCCAGAACATCTACACTTTTTTACTTTTCCAGAATATGTGAGAGTGATTTGCATCTTTTTCTCCACATTCTCTCCAACATTTGCAATTCTTGTTAAAGAATTATTTTTAGGCTTGGGTGTAATAAAACTGGATCAAGTTTTTTCCAGGAGGACCCCCTCCATGTCTGAGAATTGGTGGATGATTGGTTCTTATTTGAAGTCAGTGTTTTTTGTCAGTGGAGTCAGTCATTAGTGTTGATAGAGTTCTCACTTCCTGTGTTTCCTTTGTTTTTACTTTCTGTTCTTTCCAGCACCGCTGGAAATCATCAGGTCCTGCTCACTGAATAAATACCTGTGTTCTTGTGCACACCTCACAGTAATGTGTTTACTACGTCTACGTGTTATAATGCCATGAGAGAAGAAAAAGTAAAAGCAGCAGCAGGGACTATTAAATCAGTGAGGCTGATGATCACTGCTGTAGATAGAGAGACTAACATATGCACATTAGCTTACATACTACCTGAACATTGCAGACAAATGCCTCCCAGACCACCTCCATATACACGGACTGAGGGATCAGATCCCAGTGAGCAACGCTGATCACTTGAAATAAGTCCCCTGACTGAGTCTGTGTGACTGTGCAGGATCATAATGTGGTTTTCTGATTTTTGAAGACCATCCGAAGTCTTTATTTCTATCTCTCTTGTTAGGATGTGATCCCAGTCCTGGTGGATTACTGCCTGCTGCTCCAGAGAGCGTAAGTGAACTCTCCACAGCACATGTGCCCTGTTGGATGTTTGTGTTTGAACCCGCAATGTGAACCAGAACCGAGAAAAGCAGGGTTATAGTTTTAGTTTTGGAATTTTTGTTTTCTATTTCTCTTCAGTTTTGATTAGTTAAAGGGAAACCTTAGTAAAAAGGTCTGGACATGCCCCTGCTTGTCATCCTGCAGCTCACCCAGAGTGCTGAACAGGGTCCTGCTGATGTGTTAGAGGAGAGAAAAGAGAGATTTCACTTGCAGGGTAAATATTAAAGCTGTAAAACTTTATGGGTGCTCTGGTCATCTGTCACATGGATTAACCATATGTAAAAAGGGAAACTGGGTCAGTGTTTTCAGCAGGAAGTACCAAACTTATGAATAGCCATATAAGCACATTTTTGATCTGTTTAAACTCAGAGCAGACATTTACGATGCATTTTGTATTTTAACAGGTAACCTAATTGGTCAAACAGGATTTTGAAGTGGATTTGTAGGGAATCATTTGTGTTGTGTTAGTCTGCATATCTAAGTACAAGTTGTAGTACATAAGTTATGGGATGTAAAATTGAATCTTAAAAAGGTATTTGTCAAGGACGTAAGTGTTGACATGTTCTGTTGTAATCGGTTCAGTAGAGTATTTCCTTGTCTTTTTCTCTGTGTGTGCAGTGACCTGCTGTTTAACCAGCTGTATTCTCAGCTGGCTGAAAACATGGTTGCCAAGGGAATTTTTCTCGAGTCACTGGAGTCATACATCGTTGCAGATCGCCTGGGCCATCTTACCACGCCCATTATGAGGGATCTCTTGGCCCATTACCACAGCACTGGTAAAATGGAAAGCCTGGAGAGATGCATTGTTCATCTAGACGTCACTAACCTGGATATACAGCAGGTGTGTATGTTGAGGAAAAGAGTACTCTCTTCAGTAGTTTTTCATGATACCCAGAATCCTCGCTGTTCTCATTGTCACTTAAAGGCTTTTGTCTGTCTACACGTGTGTGTATTTGAAGGTGGTTCAGGTTTGTTGGGAGAACCAACTCCATGATGCGATGATCTACGTTTTTAACAGTGGTATGAATGACTACATTACACCCATGGAGGTGAGTTCTTCCCCAAATGTAGCTGAAATTCTTGCATCCCGGCAGACAAACTCCAAACTGCATCCTTTAATAAATGCTGTAAATGTAAAGTTACTATGAAGACTTTGTAAGTGGTTGTGTAGCAGACTGAAATGGACAGTGATGCATCTCTATGATGTTTATGGCAAATGAAACTGTCAGTGATGAGATTGATGATTTTTTTTGTGCCTGTTACTGCTGTGAGGGGGTAGAATCAGTTCCTAGTTAGGCTGTTAGTGTTAATCTGTTCATTGCTGTTGGATCAATGTCAGGAACTGCTCCTTAACAGTGGGCTGTTTGCATCGAACTCCAACCATTCACACATTTCCCTGCAACTGCTATGATAGAACAATTGACACCATCGCTGGGCAACTACAAAAAAATGTGGCCAGAGCACTGAAGTGGAGGGTGTAAGCTGCTGCAGACCTGTAAATCAACTACTGCAGGCCAGTCAGCCTCAGGTCTAAAGGAAATGTAAATGCAGACAATATAATTGTCTCATGGGCCTCAGATTAGCATTAATATACAAAAAAGAGCATTGTAAATGTGATTGATTTTGTGATTTATCCTGAGTGACAATGAAAATGTACTAAATACTTTTTTTCTCTATGTTAATGTTTCAGAAACTATTTGCAGTTATCAGCCCCCCACTAAAGTCTGGGAGGAGCCTAACAGGTAAGGCCTGAAAGCTCAGACTCTATCTTTATAACACCTACTGTCTTTAATATGGTTATTGTGCAGCCAGCAGGGCTGTCCCAGTACCAGAGTTAATTGATCTATGTTTATAAAGTGCTGGTGCAGAAAGTTGGTAGTTATAAAAGGAAAAATAAATATGATTTCTTTCTTTAGATTATCATTCACAGTGTGTATCTAAAGCAAGTTTGCTCTCTGTATGCTCTATTTTTTATGAATATAATGTTTTTATGGTTTTTAATCTGTGACTCGTGGTGTGAGACTCCCTGTAAAAAGAAAATTAAGGGACCGTCATGACTCTGTCCTCTGCTTTCTGGATGTCTGTAACAATCATAGAAGCATCAAGTGTCTTCGTTAGTTGCTCATCCTCAGCTGCAATAAACCAAATCCTGTACCATCTAAACCAAATCCTGCTACAAAGAAATGTCGTTTTATTTTTCAGTTTTGCGGTGTTGTTAATTACATTGGCACTCTCTTTCTTTACTTAGTCTCTATGTCAGTTAACCACCACTGCTCGTCCCTCACTTTTATCCACTTGCAGCAGCCTCTTAATGAAAATATGAGTGTATTGTTTTGTCATAGGCTTTGGGGCTCTTTGAATTTATACAATATCCTTTTAAAAATATCACAGTGGCATTGAGAAGTATCAGACATTTCTAAAAGCGTAAGAGATTGTGTCCTTAAAGCCTCTATTTTTCTTCTTGAACAGATGAGGAGGTGGTGATGGGGAACAAACTTCTGGTCTACATAAGGCAAGTCAAAAAGATATGAGTTTATACTTAAGGTTTCCAGGCCTCAAGGCTGCCACGGTCATTGTCAAAAGTTTTCTCTCTGCCATTTGTTACCAGACATTCACATAAAGGGTTCTTGGGCTGGCTGCCCAGATTTATTTACACCCTCTTAAGAAGATTTGCTAGCCATTTCTGCATTTTCACCTCTTTACCCATTTAAGATCACCATCTTTGTTCAATAAAGAGTGTGCTTTCTCTGCACCACTGACATAAACATTTTTTTAATCCACTGATTAGTCTGATCAAAGTATTATGAGCAATACAAACCTGCAGCTCTTTGCAGTTTGCTATGTCAATAACCTTCTGGACACAAGACTCACTTTATCAGAACCATGAGTGCAACCCTTTGAAAGAGGAGTTGTGTTCTTAAGGGGACTTTGTAAAAAAATTGGCTGAATGGGATTGTCTGAGGAGGAGACAAATTGAAGCAAACAGAAAAAGAATTAAGGGATGAAGTGAGTGAGGCTGAACCTCAGCTGATTTATCAAAAATCCCTTATTTCATGTCAAAGACATTCTGGATGATTTAGTCTTAGTTTTCTGCTTTTTCACTTCTTGTACTTATGGTTGCAAATAAAATAAAGTGTGTGTGTGTGTGTGTGTGTGTGTGTGTGTGTAGCTGCTGTCTTGCAGGGAGAGCGTATCCACTCGGGGACATCCTTGAAGACCTTGTGGTTCAGGTTAAGAACCAGGTATGTATGTAGATTCTTCTTACCCAGACTTTTGAACTGAAAGCAGACACAGTCTTTTTAGTTTTTTTGTGTTCAGTAAGCAGCTTGCGTTTTATTACAGTTTCTATTTTTGTTAGAGATTACAGCTGATGTGCAGTAACAAGTGCCCCTTATGTTCTTGTTCACTCCAAGACTGTTTGCTTTAAAGGTCTGTTTTTAAACCCCACTGTTAATGCTCTGGGAACTATCAAGTGTGATAATCATTCAGTGCTACTGGCTGCATTGGTGGAATTAGGTGACACTCCTGTGGTGGTTTTGATTGTTTTGAATATAACCTGATAACATCAGCCTTCCTCAAAATAAAACTGCTGTAAAAATAGATCACAGATGAAAAGGAGTTAAAGCCTGAGGGTGCGTCTGGGGGTGATTGATTGAAAAATATTTGGGATAAAGAAAAGCAACATAGCAGACACAGCGTGAGGAAAAAAGTATTAATTAAGAGGGACTGAAATCACAGTCAACATAAAACAGAGCTGTACGTTCTCTCAAGAAGTTGGCATGTATGTCAATTCAAAATCTGTCCATCCATTAATTTTCTTCTGCTTATATGGAGCCAGGTTGCAGTGGCAGCAGGTGGTCTACTTTGCCCCAAATGCCCCTCCCTTCATTTTTCTGGCTCCTAAGAGATTCCAAGGTATTTCATGGCCAGGTGAGATATAGTTAATAATCCCTAGAGTGTTTTCAGGATCCACTGTATGGCTGGAAAACCTGCATGGAGGAGCGTCCAGGAGGCATCCTGATCAGAGGCCTGAATCACCTCAACTTGCCCCGTATAGGACAGGGTCAGCCGCCCTCCAAAAGCCCACCCCCCTGAGCCCAACCTTTTTTTTTTTTTTTTTTCATGTGATTTATCGTCTTAATTCATCCTAATTTCATTATTCATGGGCTCTTATGCATCAATTAATATCCTTATTTATTAAAGGTACAGGCTTCTTTGTTTGTGTCTTGATCTATTTTTATCATTGTTGGTAAACCATAATTTGGTTAAACATTATGAAAGGGAAATCTTTCTCTTTGTAGTGAGTTAGCTTGGTTACAGTGACTATTACAGAGAGCCAGTACTTTAGTGTGAGGTTGGTTCATCATATTGTTTCCTTTTTGTGTTTTGCTGACAGGTCTTCGAGTTCCTCATTCGTCTTCATTCAGGTGACTCGTCAGAAGAGGAGGACGTTTTCCCATTTATTCGTTCACTTCTACACTTTGATACCAGAGAGTTCCTCAATGTTCTTGCCATGGTAGGCTTTCTTTAATTCTGTTTGTGGTCAGTGTAGTTTGAATATCGAGAGACAGCGCATTATTTCGAGTTACTCCTTTTTTACACCCCCTTCGATTTGAGGTCTGTAGTTATTGTACTTCAAATCATTGATATACCTCAAAGAAGTTTGTAAAGCCTAATTCAAACTGGGTGTGTTAGTCTGATTAGAGGTAGATCTTCTTTGTCCTGTTTTCTCACTGTAAAGGTTGCTCTTGCAAAAACTGAAATTAAACCTTATTAAAACCACCGGCCTTGATTAGGACAATTCCTACTTGAGCTCGAAAGACTATGGCGAAATGAAAGCATATCCAGAAAAAGCTTTCCCTTTCCAGGTACTTTTAAAGAGTGTTTAGGGGCATTTCTGGGTGAGTGGTCTAAGCACATGTCCTATATACAGAGGTTGTGATCCTTGTGTGGACAACCCAGGTTTGATTCTAGGACCGGAACTGATGATGAAGATCTTTGGAAAAGAGTAATATATCAGATATCTACTGAATCAAATCACAAACTCACCTTAGAATATACAAAACCCAATTCCAATCAAGTTGGGAAGATGTGTAAATAAAAACAGAATACAATGATTTGTAAATCCTTTTCAACCCATATTCAGTTGAATACACTACAAAGACAACATATTTGATGTTCAAACTGATAAACTTTATTGTTTTTTTTTTGTGCAAATAATCATTAACTTTAGAATTTGATGGCAGCAACAAGTGACAAAGAAGTTGGGAAAGGTGGCAAAAATACTGAGAAATTTGAGGAATGCTCATCAAACACCTATTTGGAACATCCCACAGGTGAGCAGGCGAATTTGGAACAGGTGGTGGCAGCTTCCCCAAAAATTTTCAGTCATTCACAAGCAAGGATGGGGCGAGGTTCACCACTTTGTGAACAACTGTGTGAGCAAACAGTTGAACAGTTTAAGAACATTTCTCAAAGTACAATTGCAAGGAATTTAGGGATTTCAACATCTACAGTCCATAATATCATCAAAAGGTTGCATGGAAGCGGCACAGATAAAGACCAACATTGAATGCCCCTGATCTTTGATCCCTCAGGCCGCACTGTATCAAAAACCAACATTAATGTGTAAAGGATATCACCACATGGGCTCAGGCACACTGTCAGTAAATATAGTTCATCGCTACATCTGTAAGTGCAAGTTAAAACTCTACTATGCAAAGTGAAAGCCATTTATCAACAACATCCGGAAACGCCACCGGCTTCTCTGGGCCCGGGCTCATCTAAGATGGACTGATGCAAAGTGGAAAAGTGTTCTGTGGTCTGACGAGTCCACATTTCAAATAGTTTTTTGAAATAGTGGATGTTGTGTCCTCTGGGCCAAAGAAGAAAAGAACCATCTGGACTGTTATCCACGCAAAGTTCAAAAGCCAGCATCTGTGATGGTATGGGGGTGCATTAGTGCCCAAGGCATGGGTAACTTACACATCTGTGAAGGCAACATTAATGCCGAAGGGTACATACAGGTTTTGGAGCAACATATGCCGCCATCCAAGCAACGTCTTTTTCATGGACGCCCCTGCTTATTTCAGCAAGACAATGCCAAGCCACATTCTGCACGTGTTACAACAGCGTGGCTTCGTAGTACAAGAGTGCGGGTACTCGACTGGCCTGCCTGCAGTCCAGACCTGGCTCCCATTGAAAATGTGTGGCACATTGTGATGCGTAAAATACGACAATGGAGACCCTGGACTGTTGAACAACTGAAGCTGTTCATCAAGAAAGAATGGGAAAGAATTTCACCTTCAAAGCTTCAACAATTAGTCTCCTCAGTTCCCAAACATTTATTGAATGTTGTGAAAAGGAAAGGTGATGTAGCACAGAGATAAACATGCCCCTGTCCCAACTACTTTGGCACATGTTGCAGCCATGAAATTCTGAGTTAATTATTATTTACAAAAAAAAAAAAAAAAGTTTATGAGTTTGAGAATTAAATATATTGTCTTTGTAGTGTATATAATTAAATAAAGGTCGAAAAGGATTTGCAAATCATTGTATTCTGTTTTTATTTACGTTTACCACAGTTTCCCAACTTGGAATTGGGTTTTGTATTATGGGAACATTGGCTTGTCTAATAAGACAGCATATCCTTCTTTAAAGGTTTGACTTTGGCACAAAAGGATCCGTTTTTGTTTTGGTGGATGGATTTTTTTTTTACTTTTGAAAATTTTGATGTCTCATGAGATTTGCTTTAATTTATTGAATACCATTTGACGAGTTCATTCTTTGTTCTAGACGTTTGAAGACTTTAAAAATGACAAGCAGGCTCTGGAGTATCAACAGAGGATAGTGGACATCCTGCTTCAGGTACAATCACACAGAATTGTGCAGAGCTCTTTGTTTGGTTCACTTAGATCACGGAGGCATGGAGCATAAGGGGAGGCTCAATAAGTGGGTTCACACAATCAAGTAGAACTATAATTAAAACCAAATCATATTCTCTTGGTCATGTCTCACTCTGTCTCAGCATATCAGGCAACGGTCACCTGAAACATCTTACAGTAATAAGGTCATCTAATGGAGCAGGATCATTTTTTATAGATACTACTTTTCAAGCCATACTACCCTCCTACTGTATGTGGACACCTGAACTGATCTACAGTCTTTGGGTGACCTGAAGTCATCCTGTCTTGTTAGACAGGATGACAGCTTGATTTTTTTCTTTTTCTTCTGTTTCTGTCTCTGTGTGATTATTACTCTGTCTGTCTGGTCGTGCAGGTGATGGTGGACAACTCTGACTTCACTCCATCCCAGGTGGGAGGACTCTTCACCTTTTTGGCTCGCCAGCTGGCCAAGCCAGACAATACACTTTTTGTGAACCGGAAACTCTTTGATCAGGTAGCTAAAATCACAGTGTACTGTACTGGCACACAAAGACTAATAAATAAGGAGCAAAATTGATGCACAGAGACAAAATCAAAAAACATTACAGCAGTTTTCTGATTTGTTTCTGGGAACTAAAATGTCTTTTCTCCGCTTTGGGCCATCTCTTTTATTAAAAACAAACACAAAGAGCTATTTTCGGGGCTTGCTGGTTGAGTCACACACAGACAATCCCTTTGCTATCACACTGAGTAAAGAGTTCTTTATACATATAGTGTTTGAATTAAGTCTATGTTGGATTAATTACAGAAGTTTTTATTGGATCTACTATCACCTTTTCATTTTGTCGGCAGGAGGATTAAGATAATTAGGATTAGTAAGGTTGCTGTGTCAAATCAACTCTAAATATATAACTTCGTTGGACTAGTATGGGGGAAAAAAACTCTACTCATAAGTTCTCATACTTAAATATTTCTGTAAAAAATGTATGATTATTTTGTTTTCATTAGCTTCTGGACTCCATGGACATCGTGACTTAAATAACCACCAAAATATATCCATTGAACAAAAAAATGCTTTTCTTGACTCTGTGTTTTGGAACTTAAAAAAACACGATTTTGAAGAACTTCACACAGAAAATTAACAGGATACAGAATGTTTCACAACAAAAAAAAAAGGCTTTGACTCAATCCTACTAGGTGGTCCACAGGAGCCAGGGTGCATGAAATCCTTTTCTACCTGCAGCAAGAACACAAATGGTTTCATTTATGAAACATTAGTCAATTTGTGTGAAGATTTACATATGAATTTACTCTGTGCTACAGTGTTACTCCTAATTTTATGACTGTGGCGGAAAACCTGGATTGATTTTAAGTACTGTGTGTGTGTGTAAGTTTATGAATACCATTGATTAAGTGACAGCACCATGCGATCAACATAAAACTTCACCCATGAACAGCTGACGAACACCATAAGAAAAAATGATTACGTGCGAATCTGTGAGTATAGGTGCAGTATAGGTGAGTATAATATCTGTGCACATGAACTGCTATGTGCCCCGCGAGGCCATAGAGCCACAGTGATGACCTTATCATTGTGGGTACAAAAGATCCTCTGAATCTTTCTGTCCTGCTTTATATGGATCAATAAAGTTCTTGTTTTGTATATTGAGTTTTTTGCAATTAGCAGCTTTGTTGTAGACATGCTAATGATTACCATCCTTCAGTCCATACTTTCTAAACAGTCTGTTACTTCAGCAGGTGTTAGTGTGTTAGCTTCCTGTCAGAAGGTTGAAAAAATGATGGAGTAAAAGTTCTGCAATGAAAACATTTTAGGAATAATATTATGATAGAAGCATCAAGCTTCACCTCTATGGTGAGAAGCAGAGACAAGTTTACTTCTGCATCACAAGGATGAGACCCCAACGAGCATACAGCCCTGCTCCTGGTGCAGGCTCTTGTAATATCACTGTCTAACCCCCACCCGTTATTGGTAAGCCTGCCTCCTTGCATATCCAAACCTCTGCAGATGATACAGCAGCACATCGGTTAGTTGGCCAACCCAAAGCGGCACTCCACAGTTCATTTTACTGCTTTCTTCAGCCCCCTAACATGGAACTTTTTGCATTATTGATTTGCACTGCCAACTGATATTATGCAACTGATATTATGTCTTTGCTCCTTCTCTCCAGGTTCTGGACTTTTTGTGTTGTCCAGATGATGACTCTCGGCATGCTGAAAGGCAGCAGGTTGGGTTTACATGATATTTATAAGTTTACTAGGGGTGTAAAGGCACATATATTTGTACTGAACTGTTTGAGGTACTTGTGGCTCAGTGGAGATGCGTACCAATCCAGGAATATGTGTAATTCAAGTTCCAGACGCCCAAGTGGATGAAATATTAGGAGGTGCTTGTGTCATCTCCCGATCGTGATCCTTCTTTTTTTATCTTTTCATCTTTTTTATTTAAACTGCAACAAAAAAGAAATTTGAGTAAGCTGACAAGTCTGAACTGTTAATGCAGCACTTTAGATACTGTGTCTTAAAGTTCTAATAAAGGACAAGAAATTTTACTTGCTGCATTTGTTTCCACTAAAGTACCAAAAATGTTCCAAACTGAAGCTTTAACCATGAAAACGGTCTTAAATTAAATGTTTTTTGTGCCATTACACCCCTGTTGTTTATAGTATACAGTACGCAGTATGCAGCCTTTGATTTGCCATATGATGGTATCACGTCATCTTTGATGTAGGTTCTCCTGGAGCTGCTACATGTTGGGGGTGTCGTCCAGTATAATGAGGAGAGACTGTTGGCTTTGGCAGAGACGGCCAAATTGTGAGTAGCTGAAGTCTTGAACAAAAAGATACCTGTATCTAATTATTATATCTCTTTTAACAGTAACTTTGAGCTTGTTTTGTTACTTGGTAGGATTTTTAAATGCATGCTGACTCTCATCAAAACCTCCTTTCAGCACTTCTCAGCCTCTGCCTGAAGTGCCTCAGTTTTGGCTGTTTTAGTTAAAGCTAGCTGAGTTTACAGAGTTGCACATTTTTCCCATCCAAAAATGACGGCATCATAAAAACTGAACAGTCTGGGAACAAAGATGGCGGCGTAGCGAGTGGTTGACTTTCTCTGCGCTCCGCACCAGCACTTTAATATTTCTGCAAAAACTCCGCCCGACCCAATTTTCCAACAAACGCCGCTTCGTGAAGGTCAATATGAATATTGACGAGTATTTTTTGAGATCCCGGGATAAGATTGCGTCGAAACAAGACCACAACTCTGCTGAGGCTAGCTAGTTGGGTGCGACTGCTAGCATGACCGACAAGCTATTCAAGAAATTACGGCGAATATAACCAAGGTGATTGATGAAAGACTTGGCCCGCTGTCTCAAACGGTGCAGGCCCACGCCCAACAGCTGAAAAAGATCGAGGAGAGAACCACCGAGGCGGAGGGCAGGATCGCCGCGGCTGAACACACCTATGAGGCGGTGGACTCGCGGGTCCAGGTGCTTGAAAAACAAATACGAAGCATGGCCGAACAGATCGACGATCTCGAGAATAGAGGCAGGAGAAAGAATGTCCGGGTGGTTGGCTTACCAGAAGACACCGAGGGGAACGACCCGACAAAGTTTTTCCAGAGCTGGATTCCAGACCTCCTCGGGATGGAGACGAAAGCTGGCCGCATCAAAATTGAAAGAGCTCACCGCACCCGGGCGTCCAAGCCCGGACCGAACCAGCGACCACGACCCGTCCTGATCAGGTTTCACAACTTCGCTGACAAGCAGAGGGTGTAAGATGCTGCACGGCGTCGTGGGACGGTGAAGCACGGGGACTCCACCATCATGTTCTTCAAGGATCTGTCAGCTGCGGTGCTGCGCAAACGGAAGGGCTTTGACGAGGTGAAGAAACGCCTGTGCGACATTGGAGTCAAGTACATGATGCTCTACCCGGCTACACTCAAGATAATCCGAGGTAAGGACGCCAGAAGCTTTGACTCTCCGGCTACAGCGGCGGCGTTTGTTGACACTCTCAGCTGATCTACACGTGGATCATCAGCTGATCACCAGCTGACGTTTGTTTACATTTGGATGAGAGTTCGGACATTTAAATGGGCAAAACTATTCGAGTTAGTCTCTTTTTTCGGTCAGCCCAATGTTATCTAAGGGTGGACAATACTACTGTGTGGTGTGGGCGGGGCTCGGAGTTGTAAAAGTTAACCGAGTTAGAGGTGGGTAGAAAAGAAGGTTTTGGCGATCCCCTGATTTCTGCTTGGGGAAGGTTCCTCCTACAGTACCGTTGGTACGCCTGTTATCTGTTATTTGTCCTTTTTTGTTTTGTTTTTTTTGTACTATGTGTACTCGATGTTGTGTGTTTTTTGTTCTTCAGCTGGGTTGCAGTCAGGTGCAGGATCTATGTGGAAATGGTAATATGCTTGGAAGCTCAAAAATATTTAGTACAGAAAAATCATGACCTGTGACACATTGAGGTTGTGCACTTGGAATATTAAGGGGAGTCACTCGCCCATCAAAAGGACAAAGGTATTATCATCCTTGAAGAAGGAAAAGGTGGATATTGCTATGCTGCAAGAAATGCACTTAAATGATGAGGAGCATGTGAAGTTGCAACAATGTGGCTTTGATCAGGTCTACTTCTCATCTTTTACCACCAACAGCAGAGGGGTAGCAATACTCATCAGGAAGAACTTACCTATTAAGGTGTCAAAATGTATTAAGGATAAATATGGTCGGTTTGTACTTATTTTGGCCTCCCTTAATGGGGAGGACCTTGCCCTTTTAAATGTTTACTGCCCTCCATGTCACCCACCTAACTTTCTAACGGAAGTTGTCGCCAAATTGTCTGATCTTGCGGTGGACAACACTATTATAGGAGGTGATTTTAATTGTCTTCTGAACCCACTGATGGACAGGTTTCCTTTAGGCGCTTTAGCTCAATCAAAACACTCAAAACACGTCTCTGGCCTCTGTGATGACTTTGGATATGTGGATGTTTATAGGACACTTCACCCTGCTGATAAAGAATTCACTTTTTTTTCAAATCCCCACAAATGTTACACAAGAATAGACTACTTCTTTACCCCAAAACAGTTTATAGAATCTGTAGACACCTGTTCTGTTGGTAATATCATAATATCAAACCATGCAGCAGTCTATATGGACGTTACAATAAAGAAACTCCCTAAGAAACTCGCTGGCTGGAGAATGGATGCCTCAATAATAAAAGATCACAGATTCATATCGTACTTCTCAACAGAATTCAGGCATTTTCTTGCCACCAACTCTCCCTCAGCCACCGACTCGTCCATCCTTTGGGAGACCTCCAAAGCTTACGCCAGGGGACTGATCATTTCTTATACTGCTTCCAAAAGACGTAAAGTTGCGGAGCAACAAGTTTTATTACAAAAAAGGTTGGATGTGTCTGAGAAGGAATATATTAAGAAACCTACAACATCTAAACTAAAGGAGATCACTGCAATTCGCTCCACATTAGACTCATTGCTAACAAAAAAAAGCAGGGGAAAAATTAGGATATGCAAAACAAAGGCTATTTGAATACGGAGATAAACCAGGGAAATATTTAGCCAACTTGACAAAAAAGCGCAGGGCTTCTCAAATTATTGAGTCTGTTTCAGATGAGTCAGGGACCTGTTCCACTGATTCAAAGATAATTAACGACACTTTTAGAAATTTCTACGCCAAATTATATCAATCAAATCAAACTAACAATTCTGAAACTCTGATTGAAGCTTTCTTCTCTGAACTTGACCTCCCAACTATATCACAAGACCAGAAAACTAAATTGAATGCCCCAATCTCAGCGGCTAAACTGCGTGAGGCCATCCGACTCCTCCGTTCAGGCAAAGCTCCAGGCAGTGATGGTCTTGGTAGCGAATTCTATGAGGAATTTCAAGATATTTTATTAGAGCCTATGATGGATATGTTTAATCACACTTTTGAATCTGGCACTCTACCACCATCGCTAAGGGAAGCTAATATTTCACTGATTCTCAAAAAGGGGAAGTGCTCTGAGAACTGTGCCTCATACAGGCCGATCTCGCTCTTGAATGTTGATTTGAAAATTCTCTCTAAAGTTTTGACGAGACGATTGGAAGGCCTTCTACCTACTATAGTGAAGGAAGACCAAACTGGCTTCATTAAGGGCCGCAATTCCTACAACAACATTAGGAGATTACTAAATGTCATCCAACTGTCCGAACAGTCAAGAATAGATGGTATGGTTATCTCCCTAGATGCCGAAAAGGCTTTCGACTGCGTTGAATGGCCTTATTTATTTTATACACTTGATCGGTTTGGCCTTGGGGATAACTTCGTTAAATGGGTGAAAATCCTTTACACAGAACCAATGGCTGCAGTTCTAACAAATGGACTCAGATCCTCGAACTTTGTGGTACAGAGGGGTAGCAGACAGGGCTGCCCTCTGTCGCCACTTTTATTTGCAGTGGCCATTGAGCCCTTAGCGAAAGCTATCAGACGTGACCCTTTAGTGGCTGGATTAGATTTGGGGGGAAAATCTCATAAAATCTCATTGTACGCTGACGACGTGTTGTTATTTATGCTAAACCCCTCTATATCAGTCCCCCGTCTTATTCAGAATATTGATCAATATGCCGCCTTTTCTGGATATAAGGTTAATTTTTCCAAATCAGAAGCAATGCCTCTAGGTAATTCTAAGCATCTACCAGATAATCCTGATCCCTTCCCGTTCAAGTGGTCCTCTACTGGCTTCATATACTTAGGCATACATATAACACCTATATTCAATCAGTTGTTCCAAGCTAACTTTAGCCCATTATTTGATAGAATAAAACATGATTTGGAGAGATGGGTTGATCTGCCTATATCCTGGCTGGGCAGAATTTCGCTTTTGAAGATGAATATTCTTCCGCGCCTGCTTTACCCAATACAAATGATCCCCGTCTTGTTCAGTCAAAAAATTGTGAAAAAACTGAATGGTTGGTTCAGCTCATTTATCTGGAGTAGACGCAGACCACGTGTCAGGTTTTCAGTGTTGCAATCGCCCAGTGCTAAGGGTGGGCTGGACCTCCCCGACATTAGGAAGTACCAACTGAGTGCCCACTAAAGATATGTAGCTGATTGGATCAAAGACGATGCTTCCTCAATCTGGCTTGATATTGAGAAGTCTCTGTCCACTTGCCCTCTTAAAAATCTACTCTTTATAGGTGAATTGAAATGTGTTAAAAAGCTTTGCAATAATCCGATTACAATCAATACTATTAGAGCATGGAAGATCACACAACAAATGGAAGGCAGAGCAGGGTTTACGTCAATCCTCACCCCCATTACTGACAACCCTGATTTTCTCCCAGGGACCTTTGACGGGGCTTTCAAATGCTGGAATGCTAAGGGAATCATCTCCCTGGGTGATCTTTTTATCGGTCCTACCCTCATGTCTTTTAGCCAGGTTGTGGGGAAGTATAAAATATCAAGAAATGATCTTTTCCGTTATTTTCAGATCAGGGATTATATTTTAAAAAGTACGTCTTTGCCTGCCGATATGAGTATCACACAGATAGAGAAGCAACTATTTCTCTCTCAGGGCAAGACTGCCATTAGAACCTTTTACGCCAGTCTGGGAGATAGCTCGAGTATCGGCACTCGGACGCTGGAAGGGGTCTGGGAGAGGGAGTTGGGTGTTGAGATAACGGAGAGAATGTGGGTCAATATTTGGGACAACGCAAAGAAAATATCTGTCTGTAACCGGACAAGGGCTATGCAATTAAAGGTTCTGCATAGAGCACATGTTGCCCCCAACCGTCTCTCCAAATATAGGAAAGATGTCTCTCCCATCTGTCTTAAGTGTAAGACGGGAACTGGTGATCTTACTCACTGTTACTGGTCTTGTTAAAATCCAAAAATACTGGAATGACATTTTATCTGAAATGGAGAAAGTACTGAAGACGACGCTGGATTTTGATCCGGTTTCACTTCTTCTGGGTCTCTCAAGTGACCGGGTTGCTGACATGTATCAGAAAAAATTGTATAATCTCACATTCTGTGCCCGGAAAAATATTCTGATTCATTGGATCTCAGACAAGGCCCCATCACTGTCAGGCTGGCACAGGACAATAATGGAATACATACCTCTGGACTATCTCACCTGTCTTCTGCATTCCAGGACTGATGTCTTTGAGAGAACGTGGAAACCATTCCTGGACTATGTTAATGTAAACGTTTCTGCTATACTCACGAGGGCATTTGTATGATTCTGCATCTATCTTCTCTTCCCCCTTGATGAAGCCTCCACTGTGTTACACATTGTGTAATGTGCCTGTTTTATGTATTCCAGAACTAATTCGTTTTGGTTCTTGAGATATTATTCCCAGCTTGTGTTGTTGTTGTAGTTGTAGTTGTTGTTGTTGTTGTCATCGTCGTGTAGTGCTGCTGTGATGTCTGGTCCTGTCTTTTGTATGTTTATCAATAAAAAAAATTTGAAAAAAAAAACAAAAAAAAAACTGAACAGTCACTGGTTAGTGTTTACCATAAATTCTGTTGTAATATTTAGAATAATGCAGTTTTACAGAGCTTCTGACACAAATATCAGTCATGTACGAGATCCAGAGAATAATACAATGCATTTTCTGTCACATGGCCTCATTTAAAGTGCATCTAAAAGATGTTGATGATTCAAATAACTGAGATTGTAATCTGTGACTAATTCATGACTTTCTTCTATTTTGATTTTTTTAAACCCAAATATTAACCCTTTACTTTACTTTAGTTTGATAATTACAGATGGTTCAACACAAACCCATAAGTTGCTGTATCTGACTGAGCCGGATTTTTTCTGTCTACATTTATTTGAGAATAGTTTAATTTTAATTTAGCAGTTGTCTGTTAACTTGTTTGTTATTATCATTGTTGAACTGTTATACTTTATCAGAGAATTAAAACCTGCTCTTTCATAGTTGGCACCACTGAAAAACAGACATCAACCACTGGTTCCTTGTGTTGATTTTCACTTATTTTGATATACTAAAGGATTTCTGTGAGAGTCTGTGGGACACCGACAAAACGAGTGATGGAAATAGATAATGACAGTAGTTTATGTATGCTTTCATGATTCCCTGTCTTTCCCTATCTTGTCCTTCAGCTATCAAATCTGTGAATTCCTATACGAGAAGAACAATATGTACGACAAGATCATTGACTGCTACCTAAGAGACCCCCTCCGAAAGGTATCTGGGATTTCAGTTTTTTTTTTTTTAAATAACAAATATATTTTTGGAAATATTTAATTCTTCAAGATCAGGGATGTATGATTGAAGTGTTGCCTTTATTCTTTTGAGCAGTGTAGTTTGACCCATAGATAAATAAGAACTCTAGCCCACTTATCAGTCCTAATGTTTCCAATTGGTTTGTTTGCATCTTAGGGGGAGATCTTTGGCTACATCCACAACCTGCTATGCATGCCAGGCTACAGCCTTGAGGAGAAACAAACTGTCTTGGCCAAAGTATTGCAACACATACAGGTCAGTACATACACGGACAGCCATACTACATTTTTGTAAATTTGTCAGACAAGCCAAGAGGCTGGTATGGAGGGAGTTCTTGTCCTCACCATCCTTGAGATCCTAAGAATTTCAAGACTGGATAAAATTTGGAGTTGAGTGTGCAGGTGACAAATACAACTCATCTATCCTTCCACTGGGTCTCTTAATTTACAGAGGGAACCTTCCAAAAAGGATCAAAGGAGTTCTATCTAATCTGATCGAATCAAATCTTGAGAGCTGTATCAGGAGAATCCTGAGCAAGCTTCACTTTACATTGAAGATGTTTGTTATGTAATGTGTTAAACTTGAACCTTAAATACATAAAAAACAAAAAAAAACAAAACAAAAAAAAAAACGTGTCTGGATCAGTCCTCAGGACATTGAGGTAATCTTTTATTGTAGTTCCTTATATGTTTTATAGATTTAAGGACACAGGTAAAACAAAGCAGAAGATTTGATTTAATAACATTTGTCTCACAGGAGTTGATCGCCCTTGATGCCAGCAATTCAGCTGACCTGGTGTTGTTTCACTTCACTGAAGAAGCACAGCAAATCATCTCAGAGCTTCAGGTAAGGAGAAAATATGATAATTATGTCTTTTTGAATTATAACTTTAACTTAAAATTAATCGTATTATTCAGTGACATAATATCTGCTCTGTAGCTGAGCAGATAAGGAAATAATCGTTCACTTTGTTATAGAAGCATGAAATTTGGTACATATACTCTTCAAACCCCACTCTTTTCAAAAATAATGTTAGCCACGCAAAATTCCAAGATGGCGGCCTCAAAATCCAAGATGTCCGCCCAAAAATGTGGTTTTTCCTTTATAACTCAAAATGCCTTGATTTTACGCCCCATAAATATATTGAAGTTGAATATAAAGTTGGGCATTGCGGACATTTTGGTTCTAGTACATCTCTGTATCTATTAAGGTTCTTGAGATACAGCATATAGATACTATTGTTGTTACGTGCGTATGGTTATATGAAAATATCATTTTCATTATCTGTTATTTTCATTAGGGTTATAACATGAAATTTGAAAACCAAGATGGTGTCCAAGATGGCTGCCATTGCCTTGAAGTAATCCGATCTTCGTGACTATGAAACAATTACTTTTGGCGTGCACATATTTTTGGTCTATGCATCCAATGGGGCCATTGCAGTACAGAATTTAGATTTTAGTATGGGAGGTGGATGGGGTGGTTGTTGGACATTTCGAAGACATTTGTTTCGCTTAAAGGGCAAATACTCTCTGGCTACTTGCGGGGGAGGCCACGTGGAGGCTGTCTTCTTCTCCCCCTTTTTTTTTGTGCTTTTTTTCTATTTTTTTCTATTTTTTTATTTTTATTTATTTATTTTTTTGCTTTTTTAAATAAAATCTCTTCTATCACTTAGGTTTCAACCATATACTAAACTATTGGATACCGTGCAAACCGACCACTAGGGGATGCACTCAACTCGTTTGCAGTGTTTTTTGAAAACCTTATACCCATACCTAACACTATACTAAAATTCAGAAGTTGTTACACCTCACAGTTGCAACTGCACAGAGCTGTACACATGAGACCCGATTTGTAGCACTTGCACCTGCCACAACAGCCAGATTTACAGCCACATTTGGTGAGCTGTTCACATGACTTGGCTATTGGAGAGTTGGCTGTCCAGAAGACCTGCCATTCCTCACCAACCTTTTTCCATCCCCAGTCTGCAGGGTCCTCTGCTTCTGGCTGACACTGGGTTGCCTGGGCCCACACACAACCAGCCTGATAGGCAGCACGCCTGGTGTGTTGCAGTAGAGCTGCTCTGGTTGGTGGGATAGACTCATAGGGCCTCTGCTTTCTGGCAAACAAGTCAAGCCTGGCCTCATCCACAGTAGTAGCTGTGCTGGATCTGTCATACATGAGAATGACAAACTTCTCAAGCACCTCTATGTCACAGTCCTCTACTGTGGGAGGGTAAATACCCAGTTTGGCAAATACAGGCAAGGCTTCTGGACATATGTCCCATGTCTGCCAAGCTGTTTTCTTGCCTTTGTTGCGGAAGGCAGACACGGTGTCACATCCTGTAAAGGCATGAAAGAAGAGCATGCCTTTGACCTTTTCCTGGCCAACATGCTGAAATATGTCATGGACACTGATCCAGCGCAGAGTCTGACCTTGCCCAAATGCAAGCCACATATGCTGTAAGCCAGCCTCTTGGAGACTGCCAAATACACTTAGTGCTAAGATCAGAACATCTGTGTCATTTGCCTTGATCATGAGGGATTGGCTACCATGGTCAGTAGCATGTTTTGCGTGCACAAAGATGCGGCTGTCCGCTTCCTCATGAGAGCACTTATCCAGTCCATCAAGACAAGTTGCATGAGTGCTGAGGACAGCAGGTCCCTTTGTGACGATGATGGTATTTGGGGCAAACATTTGTGCAACCTTGTCGGCAAGAAAGTGGTACAACTCTGTTTTGTTGTCATTTTGCCTCAGGAAGTTATGCCAGTTAGATGGCATGGTGTTCTTATTTGATACCTTGCGTCTTCCCCCCTGGCCACGTTTGGACCTGGTCTCAGCTTTAAGGCTTGATGTATTGTACACATCAAAGACTAGATGTGTCATTGTGTACTTGTTGGAGTACATGTAGATCACAGGTAGGAAGTCGAGAGCTGCATAGTCCTCAAAAGTCCTGGATCTTTTTGGTGGCAGGGCGTGGACCAAAGCTGACCCATCTACAATGAGAACGTCTGCCTCAGGTTCCTTGTTTACTGGTGGGACATAGTTCTCAAGGATAGAGGTCAGCTGACACTTCTGGCAAGTGTTCAATTTTCCACCCTTGCCCAATGCAACAGGGAAGGACTGGTTCTCATGCTGAAAGAACTCCTGGAGGTCACACTCTCGGCTCTGACAAGAGATGAAAAGCTTTGAGAACAGCTGACAGTCCTCCTTGAGAAGTTTCTGCTTTGAGGGTTCAGCAGAAGAAGAGTCCTGTCTGAAGAAATCAGACTTGTTCTTCTTGATTGGCTCATAGAAAAAGGACGGATTGTTTTCCAGGGCCTGTGAAAACTCCAGAAATTTTGCCTGACCTCTCTGCAAGTGAGACTGCAGAAGTTCTGCAGAGTCAGGGTGAGCAATATCTTTGGTGTCAAGCGAATACAGGTCTTTACTGTCTTCCTGGAATGGGTTGCCGAGGTCTTTTAGAGTTTGGGACAATTTATCAACCCTCCTCTTGAAGGTTTTCTGTGCCTGTGAAGTTTGCTCATGGTGGCTTCTGTGCTCACTGGGCTCGCCTCGCTATATGTGCACGCCAAAAGTAATTGTTTCATAGTCACAAAGATCGGATTACTTCAAGGCAATGGCAGCCATCTTGGACACCATCTTGGTTTTCAAATTTCATGTTATAACCCTAATGAAAATAACAGATAATGAAAATGATATTTTCATATAACCATATGCACGTAACAACAATCGGTGTTACAAATTTCTTACTCTCCCAATTTTGTACAAGTATCTATATGCTGTATCTCAAGAACCGTAAAAGATACAGAGATGTATTAGGTACCAAAATGTCCGCAATGCCCAACTTCAATATATTTATGGGGCTTAAAATCAAGGCATTTTGAGTTATAAAGGAAAAACCACATTTTTGGGTGGACATCTCGGATTTTGAGGCCGCCATCTTGGAATTTTGCGTGGCTAACATTATTTTTGAAAAGAGTGGGGTTTGAAGAGTATATGTACCAAATTTCATGCTTCTATAACAAAGTGAACGATTCGGGCTATATTGTGCATTTGTCTGCTCCACTACTGAAACTGCAGTATTTTTATTTGCACTCATATAACTGTTGATTTTTGTCTTTGAAACAAGAGTGTAGATAAAAATGGTAGCTTCATAGTGCAGAGAGGGAGTCATATAATACTTTCAGAGGTTGGTGCGCCTTACATTGGTGGAAGTATCAGCAAGCAATGCAATAGGACACAGCATGCCCTTCCGTTAAGAGCATGATGGAGGGCCTGAAAATATATTTACCCTGACATGATTTCTGACAAAAAATTTAATTTAAAAAAGCTTAAAAATATATTTTCTATTTCATCCCTTCTGACCGCTAGAGGCGGTGCTTTAAGCACTGAATGATTCCTTTCGTGCATACGCAGTTCGAGCATTTGTACCAAAATAGTCACGCGTGACCCCGGGATGAACCGGAGGAGGTTATTTCTTCCACCGGTCACCGAGGGCTCAGTCCCTTTTTCTTTCTCACGCGCAGGTTGCAAACTTGCGAGGAGCGGCATTTTTCTAACAAATAAACCTTTATCTGTGTGTGAAGTCGCTGGTAGTCCCGTGGCCGTAGGTCGGGGTAGCGAAAATTGCCCTCCAGGGACTGTGACTTCCTTTGAGTTGTTCTTTATCTCTACTGTTTATCTACGACTGAGCGGAGCCTCACCAACTTCGTCGGATGCTGTGGCGTTCGCCCGGTAAGGAAGGGTCGTCGTCCCCCTCTCCTCCGGACAAGGTAGGTTGCTGTTGTACTAAGCTTGTTGAGTGGACTTGAATTGTTTTACAAGTCACAACCCATGCTGGTAGAGGCCGTGTGCGCACCGCCTCCCCCCTGCATACGGCTGCGTACCGTGAGCATTAGCGTAACACTTCGGTTACTTGCTGTAAGGTCTGCTCGTTTCATTCTTTTTGTTGTCAAAAAAAAACCAAGGCCAAAGCTAGTTCTCCTCGTGCCGGTACGCGTTGTCGCCATCCGGCCTCAGCCGACGCTATCGTTGGTTGTAGTCGGCCTCAGTAGCTGTCTTTTGTTTGTTCAGTGGCTATCGGTTCCAGTTGCATTAGCGCTCTGGGTACCAGACGTGTCCTTTTGAATAGCTCTGTATTTGTTTGGTGTCAGCCATTATTATAACCAGTTGCGTTAGCGCCCTGGTCACTTTGAGTGCTCTTGTGCTGGATAGCAGTATTTTGTTGGCATTGGCCATTATAACCAGTTGCGTTAGCGCCCTGGTCACTTTGAGTGCTCTTTTGCTGGATAGCATTATTTTGTTGGCATTGGCCATTATAACCAGTTGCGTTAGCACCCTGGTCACTTTGAGTGCTTTTTTGTTTGCTGAATAGCCTTATTTATTTATCTATTTTTTTATTTGGCTAATTTTGTTGGCCGTGGGCCATTACTGTCAGCTTAGTTGCAACTCCCTACTGGTATAGGCAGCGTGAGCACTCCCTCCCCCCAGTATAAGCAACCTTCCATCCAGCTAAAGCTAGCCTCCGCTGGTGCAGGCAGCGTTTGCGCTCCCTCCCCCCAGCTCACGGCGTCTTTTGCCCAGCAACCAGTAGCGTCAGCGCCCTGGCCTAGTTGGGACTGCTCGGTGTGATGGATAGCGCCCACCACTGTGCTTCATGTCAGGTTGGCCTGCAGCCAGACGACGGACATGACCTCTGCCCAGCTTGCCTTGGACCCGAACATCTTAGGGAGGCACTTGAGGGGGACCCCTGCATGAACTGCAGCTACATGCCTCGGGTGGCAAGGCTGGCCAGGCTGGCTGAGGTAGAGCCGCCACAGGGTGGAGACGGCCTTCCCCCCATCGGGCCAAGCATCCACGCCCAAGACCAGGCGCTCAAAATGCCAGGCCGACGAAGCCACTGCTGCCCCTGCTTCCAAAAGGATGTCGAGGTCTGGCCGCTCCCGCCTGTCATCGAAGGTGGAGAAGCTCTCTGCCGAGCTGGACCACATGAGGTCCATGATTTGGGCCCACCAGCCTGGGTCCCCTTCGGAGGAGGCTTGGGGGCCCACCCCGCCCATGCCACTCCTAGTCCTGGAGGAGCCTAGCGGCATCTGCTACTCACTTCCACGAGGAAGATGACCGTGATGGCGGCGAGGGAGAAGGGGTCTCCCAGGTGTCCGATCAGGGCTCTCACTCCTCGGCTCAGACTTTGTTCAGGCACAGGCCAACCTCCACTGCATTTGCCGTCCCACATGCAGAGGACTATATAAAGGAGCTGCACGCCTGCTGGAGAGACTCCAAGGCTTGCTCCCGCCTCTTGGCAGATGGTCGTACCCTGGCGGCAATGCACGACACTGCAGGGGTCGGCCTGGATCACATGCCGGCCATCGAGCCCAGCATTGTCCCCCCCCGACGAGGCTCTGCGACAGGACACTAGGTGTCCCCATTCACAGTGCAGGCTAACAGACAACCTGCTCATCAGGGGCTACGATGCGGCAGCACGTGCTGCTAGGATCGGAAACTCTTTGTCGCACCTCCTGCTTACCCTGTCAGCGTCTCTGCAGGAGGGCTATACAAACGAGGAACCTGTCACCTTCTGTGACGCGGCACTAGAGGCATTCGGCCTTATGTCGCTTGGAAGGACAATGTCCTACCTGGTACAGGCTCGACGCCAGGTCTGGCTCTCCCAGTCGGGCTTGACTGAGGCATCCAGGAAAACGCTCCTAGCTTTCCCTGTCGAGCCAGGAGCGGTTTTTGGCCCACGTGCTCAAGAGGCGCTGGAGCAAACAATCCAGGCTGGGCAGACCAGGCAGCAGCTGCTGAGCATGCAATGCATGCCACCCCCCAGCAGGCCTCCCTCCGGCAGGGGCAGGCTCCCCCCAGCCGCCTCTGGAGTCCGGCTGCCACTAGCTCCGGGTAGGGATCAGCGTCCTCAGCGGCCTACGCAGAGGCAGACCTGGGACTCTCGGGCTCCGGCTGCCTGCCTTCTAGGCAGTCTCGAGCTCCGGACCCTGGTGGACCCCCGCTCCCAGGTCCCCTAGGGGCCGGGGGGGCAGACGCTGAGCCCGGGGGGCCAGCCGTCGGATACTTTACACAGCAGCAGCTCAGACGTTGGGCTGCTCAAGCTTCAGACCCGTGGGTTGTTACCACCTTAACCCACGGATACAAGCTGCAGTTCCGATGCTGGCCCCCCACAGTCAGCCGGGTCAAGATTACCATCATTAACGACCCGGCAAAAACCCTCGCTCTCAATCAGGAGCTATCCGCCCTCCTGGCCAAGGGTGCCATTGAGGCAGTGGACCCGCTGCAGCATCCCAGGGGGTTCTACTCTGCATACTTCCTCGTCATGAAGAAGACCGGCGGATTCCACCAATCCTGGACTTGAGGGGACTGAACAGGTACTTACAGACCTTGCCTTTCCATATGTTGACTACAGCCGATGTGCTACAGTCCGTTGTCCACAACGAATGGTTCACATCTGTCGACCTGAAAGATGCTTACTTTCATGTTCCCATTTCGAGGCAACACTGCCAGTTCCTGCGATTTGCCTACAGAGGCCACCACTGGCAATTCCGTGTGCTCCCATTTGGGCTCTCCCTCTACCCGGGAGTGTTCAGCAGGGTAGTGGCTGCTGCACTCCAACCTCTGCAGTCCCAGGGCACCAAGATACTGCCATATCTAGACGATTGGCTGAACTGCGCTCCGTCCCAGGCGCAGGTAGCCGAGGAGACATCACACCTCCTGTCCCATGTGGCGAGCCTTGGACTCAAGGTAAATGCAGAGAAAAGCTGCCTGGTACCGTCCCAGAGCATAACCTTTATCGGTCTGGCCCTAGACACCAGAACGATTGTGGCACGTCCGTCCCCCAGCCGGGTGGATGGCATCTTAAGGCTGTTGCCAGCCTTCAAGAGAGGCAGGCGACTGCCGCTCCTCACCTTCCTCCGCCTCTTGGGCACGCTGACGTCTGTTACGGCCGTCGTGCCGCTGGGCCTGCTGGCGCTACGGCCCCTGCAAAGGTGGCTGAACAGTTTCCACCTAGACCCAGAGCGACACAGGTACCGGAAGATTGTCGTGTCACGGCAGTGCCTCCTTGCTCTAGCCCCATGGAGGGACAGGGCCTACATTGTAAGGGGTGTCCCTATGGGGGCCGTCCCGTCCCACAGGGTGACGGTTGCCCCTTGGGCTGGGGCGCAGTGTGGCAGGGCAGGACAGCTCGGGGACAGTGGTCTGTGGCAGACCACAGCAACCACATCAATGTGCTGTAGCTAAAAGCGGTGCATTTGGACCTAAGGCGCTTTATGCCTTATTTGGCAGGCAGACATGTTCTTGTTCGGTCGGACAACACTTCGACCGTATACCACATAAACCATCAGGGCGGTACGAAATCTGCGCGGCTGCTACAGGTGTCAAGGGACTTCCTGACGTGGGCAGCCCCTCGCCTGATGAGCCTGCAGGCCATGCATATACCGGGAGAGCAGAACCAGGTGGCAGACCCTCTCTCCCGCCAGAAGCCTCCATCAGGAGAATGGTGCCTTCACCCAGACATGGTGCACACCATATGGAGCCGCTTCGGCAGGGCAGGGGTCGATCTTTTCGCCTCAGAGGCGTCGACCCACTGCCCGCTCTGGTTCTCCCTAGCGGAGACAACCAGCCCTCTGGGCCAAGATGCGTTTTCCCACCCCTGGCCGAGAGCACTTCTCTATGCTTTCCCACCTCTCCCTCTAATTCACCAGGTCCTCCGGAGAGTAGCTCAAGAGGGCCACACTGTTCCCCTGGTGGCCCCTTTCTGGCCAGGGCGAATATGGTTCCCCCTCCTCCACCAACTCTGCCACGGGACGCCGTGGCGCCTCCCTGCCAGGACGGACCTGTTCTCGCAGCTAGGGGGGCGGTTATGGCCCAGACCCACAACGCCTCCAGCTGTGCGTTTGGCCGTTGGGGGGCCTGAGCCGCTGCTTTGCGGCTGTGTAGTGACGGTTCAACATACCATCTTGAACGCGAGGGCACCATCCACCAGGCTGCAGTACAAGAACAGGTGGCAGCTGTTCTCTAACTGGTGTCGGGACCGGGGCAAGGACCCAGCTTACTGCCCAGTGTCCGCAATCCTGGAGTTCCTGCATGGTCTCCTCGATAAGGGCCGGACCCCTTCTACGTTAAGAGTGTACGTGGCAGCAATATCCTCCCAGCACACTGGGGTCAACAACTGCAAAGTGGGAAGCCACCGTCTGGTGTCGCTCTTTCTCAGGGGGGTTCAGAGATTAAATCCTCTGAGAGCCCCAAGAGCACCAGCATGGTACCTCAATCTTGTACTGGACTCCCTATGCAAGGCTCCTTTTGAGCCCTTGTCACGCACGGAATTAAAGTGGTTGTCCTGCAAGACAGCCTTTCTCATAGCCATCACCTCGGCAAAGCGCGTCGGTGAGTTGCATGCCCTGTCAATGAGCGATTCGTGTCTTAGGTGGAACCCAGACGGATCAGGTGTCACTCTGTGGCCCAACACGGCCTTCCTACCGAAGGTACTGTCGACGGCACACCTTACCCAACCTATTAGGCTGGCCCAGTTTAGCCCTCCACCAGGAGAGAGGACAGACAAGCTGAAGCTGTTGTGCCCGGTGCGGGCCCTCAGGACCTATATCGGAGCCACTGCACGTATTCGCCGGTCGGATCAGCTATTCGTATGTTATGGTGGCCCAAATAAAGGCAGCGCTCTTTCAAAGCAGCGCCTGTCCCACTGGGTCGTAGACACGATCAGCCACGCCTATCAGGCTAGTAACCATCCCACGCCATCCAGGATACGGTGCCACTCAACGAGGAGTGTCTCCACTTCATGGGCTGCCCTTAGAGGAGTTCCCCTCGAGGAGATCTGCTCTGCTGCCTCATGGGCGTCATCAGTCACATTCTCAAGATTCTATAGGGTGAACTTGGCCACTCCCCACCCATTTGGTGTGGCTCTCCTTCCAGAGTCCTCCGATTCCGCCCCCTGAGGTTTGTAATTGGGGTTCCTTGTGACTTTGCTGGTATAAGTCATTCAGTGCTCAAAGCACCGCCTCTGGCGGTCAGAAGGGATGAAATAGAACGAAAGTTACGTATGTAACTAAGGTTCTATGAATCCCGAATGACCGTCAGAGCACTCCGTCACTCAGAACCCTGTTCTTGCGAGAAAGTGTTCTGTAGGGACTGAACCCTCGGTGACCGGTGGAAGAAATAACCTCCTTCGGTTCATCCCGGGGTCACGCGTGACTATTTTGGTACAAATGCTCGAACTGCGCATGCGCAAAGGGAATCATTCAGTGCTTAAAGCACCACCTCTGGCGGTCATTTGGAATTCATAGAACCTTAGTTACATATGTAACTTTCGTTGTAAATATACTTGCCTTTGAGCTGTGAACAGCGATCAATGACTGTGTGATACTTATAATCATTGCTGATTTGTTTTGACTTAAAAAAAAGCCTCATTGAGGATTTCTGTTCAGATACTCTCCTTGTTTGCACTTTGTTTTGTTTTATCCCCCTCAGGGCAGTTTGGGGGTAAAATCGTGTCACTTATATGACTCCTTGTCAGGGTATCTGCTAAACTTTCTCTGTAAATAATAAAAAATGTAAGAAAACATACAGAGAAAATCAGGTATCTTGTTTGCTATTCACTCTTGGCATTTATAATTGAATAAACTAGTGGGAAAGAATAATTTTGGTGTAATAAGTATTTCTCTCCCTTGCTTTCTCTCCCCCTAAAATCTGTATCTGTAAGAGCCTGTGTTTAAATTTAAGATCTGTTTTGATGTTGACAAGATTGTCACCAAACCCTTAAAACCTGTATCATAAATATCTGAAACCAGCTCTAGGAAACAGCCCAGCAAATTGGACAAACAGTTTCCAATTGTCAGTCTCACCATATATCCATTTATTTTTGTAAAGTATGTTGATTAAACAGTCTCCCAAAACCAGACACAACAACCTCCTAGTTATGAATCACCCGTATAAGTAAGAAAATACTGTAATATATGTAAAAAACTTGAATATACTCTCAGCATGAATGCAAACTCTTGCCACTGAAAGTGTCAGCTGTCAATCTTTGTTTGCACTGATTAATGTAACCCCCCTAATGACTTTCTTTATCTCTATCAGTTACTAATGTACTTTTTGTCTCTGTTTTCAGGATGACTATTTGCTAATGAAGTTCCTCAGTTGTCTCCTAGAGCCCAGGTATGGTGTGCATGCGGCAGCAGTGATAACGTTTCTTTTGAGTTTGTTTGAAACTTGACTCTCCCCTTTCCTGTAAATAAAATCCACACTTTCTCCTCAGGGAGGGTCTTCATTCAGGGACCACTCTACCCGTGGAAAATGAGCTTCATGAACTTCTGCTAGATTTACTCTGTCGCCTCTCCCCCCGGCAGATCCTGAGCTTCCTCCAGACTTCCCAACACTACAGACTGGAAGAGGCCATACAGGTAACATGAACTAAAACACTGTTTTGTGCATTTCATGTGTGAGTGTGTCAAAGGTCATTTCCTGTTTTGAGTTGTGTCATTTACTTATGCATTCAAAGCGACTATTTGGTTCCTGTTTTTCAGAGAATTAATGAAATGTATTTTTAATATTTATTTTTACCCTGGACACAGAATACAGCCTCTAAAAGCAATATACAACAGCAACCACAATAGACACAGAAGACTTTTCAACAGGACATTAGCCCTTCTTTGGATACACAGCCAACAGACTGGTGAAAAGTCAGTTTGAAAATAAAAAACAAGGGAAGAAAATCCAGCATTTTCACATGCCATCTGCCAAGCCGTCTTTGTACATCAGCTCCTTGAAGAAGCATGAATAATGCCACCTTCTGTCTGTGGAATCCTGTTTGGATTCGAGCTCTTGAACTCGCCGCTTGTCCTGGGGAGATTTTTCTTTTTGCCAAAAGTACTATTTTCAGTGTCTTAACTTATTTTTCAATATGATTTTCCTGTGCAGCTTTCTCCATTACTCTAGCCCTAAACTTTTACTTCATGTTCATCAATTCATCCCTGCGTGATGGACTGGGGAAAAAAACCCTGCTTGCACTCATGGTACCACCTGTCAGCTGGTGTTGTGTAGTTCCAATTGAGCACAATTAGCACATGATCATGTTAGACTCCACGAGGAGCCAAGTGACTTCAGGCCAGCTGTACACACATCACAGAGACCTTGGCCTGAACTTTAGAACGGGCTCATGAACGGGTCTGAAGTAGGGGGACCCCAACATCAAATGAATAACTGGGTCCGCTTTTCTCTTTTGATCCCTGGGATGAGGCTCCCCCTGACCCACCACTCAGATGAAGGATTTATTTGGCCCTATTTCAGAGGCCTGGGCTGGCCCTATTGTGGGGGTTGAGAGGCTGGGTGCCTGGGAATCCTAAAGGCTATGTTTAGCGTGCATTTGGAGCAACCTGATTCTTTCTTTGAAGGGAAAGCTGCAAAGCCTCTCCCTCTTTCTTTCTCCTCCCACATCATTTCACATAACCCAGCAAAGCTGCCATACTCCATTGGGGCTTATTAAGTTGATGGTATAACAGCCTGTAGCAGAGACCCTCCAGAGTAAGGCAGCTGCAGTGCTCACATGAGTCAAGTGCATCCAGGACTGCCAATGATGATAATAATAATAATACATTTTATTTAAAAGCGCCTTTCTGGACACCCAAGGACACTGTACAGGCATTAAGAACACAGTTAAAAAGCGCAAACATGGAGCTAGTATGGGTGCGAGCTTGCTGCCATTGCATAAAAAAAGTTGACTGGTAAGCTACCATGAGCTGCATGGAGGCAGTAACAGTAGCATTTCTGTGGCTCTGTAAAACCCACATTCTTGGAGTGAAGAAGTCTGGACTTTGTACACTACATGAAAAACTAGCATCCAGCAATGAAGTGGTTAGCTCAGTCTGTGGTCCATTAGGCTAATAATTCTTGGCAGTCATGCTAGGAGATGATGATTACCTGGAAAGATGCAAGAAGAGGTGTTTGAATGAATTGATGAAGGATCAGCCATTTTGTAGGGGAGGATGTCTCATCTCTTGATGAAGTTATCACATCTGCCAGCCATTGTAGCCATTTTAGCCGGTGTGATAGCATTGGGCCTCTGAGGACTACTCAGAGGGGGGTACCATAGTGAGATACCAAGTTAAAGTTTCCAGAAAGCGGGGTGTCATCAGTTTGAAAGGCAAATGCTACAGGTGAGCAATATGGAAGCGATTGTCACTCATATCTCAAATTCAAAAGCATTAGCAGAAATGCTTTTTCATTTCAAAGTCATGGCTGCAATATTTGACTCAAAAATAAAAATAATCTTCAAGACTGCTCATTTTGTGACTGAATTAAAAAGCAAAAGCAAATCACATTTAACATTTAATTTTCAAAACATTCACCAGCAAAAAGGTAACAAAATTAATTTGAAATGTCAAATTCAAAAATTCAAAAGCATTAGCAGAAATGCATTTTCATTTCAAAGTCACTATTCACTGCACTATTTGACTCAAAAATAAAAATAAAAAGCAATATTCCAAAATGCATTTTCCTTTTCTACTTCAAGACTGCCCATTCTGTGACTAAATTAAAAAGAAAAACCAAACTAAGAAATGTTTTTTCGTTTTCATGCTCGCCCCGCAAAAAGTGTCTCATAATAGGAGGTTTTCAGTCACGTGATCCTGACTTCACGCGAGGACCAAATGGAGGGCAGGAAATGACCGACTGCAATGGAGTAGATGCGCTGGTTTAGATGTGTGCCGGTATTTAGCCGTAGATGGAGTTCATCACCCGCCTTGCGCTGCATATCCAAACAGCCCGACTCCAAGAAGACCCTACCCCGGCGCGACGGGGGCCGCTGCCGGCCTCACACTGTCCATGGGATTCGGCACTGGGCTCTTCCCTCTTCGCTCGCCGCTACTGAGGGAATCCTGGTTAGTTTCTTTTCCTCTGCTTAGTAATATGCTTAAATTCAATTTTCGTTTATTTGTTTTCATTTCAAAAAGGGAAAACAAACCGTTTTTCAATGTTTTGTTTTTTGATCCTTGATTGAATATCAATTGAACGAATGATACACAAATTCACTGCCCACTATCGGGCAGAAGGGGCCAGAACGAGTGGGGTCCGTGACGTCACTTTCCGGCGCCACCTGAGATTGCGAACTCAGATCGAACTAGAAAAGCACTCGGAGAGCGCAGACCTCTGCCAAGCAGCTCATGTCCCCCCTTATATTGTGATTCACACTAAAACTTTTAGTGTTATGTGTCTTTTATTAACGTTTATAGGTGTTTAAACTGATATGTTCACTGTTCATAATGTTCCTAAAACAAGAGATGCCCTGACCGGGATTCAAACCCAGGACCTTCTGGTTGTGAGGAGATAATGCTAACCAATACACCACTGTGCCATCTATCTACACCACTGTGCCGCCCATTGGTTATCTTTCAGCATTGAAAATTCCAACGTCACCCTTAGTTTTGTGTGTTCTGGATCACAGTATCAAGAATTTTGTCCGGATCACCACCAAAATTTAATGGGATCCTCCTGGGGCTGAGACGCGCCTCTGGTGAAAATTTCAGGTCAATCTCTCAGTTACTTTCTCCGTAAAGTTGCTAACAGACAAACAAACTCACAAACAAACCAACGCTACCGAAAACATAACCTCCTTGGCGGAGGTAATTATGAGACACTTTTTGCAGGTCGAGCACGAAAACGAAAAAGCATTTCTGAGTTTGGTTTTCTTTTTTATTTAGTCACAGAATGGGCAGTCTTGAAGAAGAAAATGAAATCGCATTTTGGAATATTGCTTTTTATTTTTATTTTTGAGTCAAATAGTGCAGCCATGACTTTGAAATGAAAAAGCATTTCTGCCAATGCTTTTGAATTTGAGATATGAGTCACAATCGCTTCCATGGAGCAATTCTTGTTGAACTGCAAAGGTACCAGCTTTGGATCTAGTAGCTAGGTCTTCCTCATTATGATCTACATTCAAAGTAAAATTTAAAACACAAGTTCTAACACAGCTGTGTGGATTTCAAACTAAAGTTTTGGATTTTAAAGTATTCATATGTCACCAGTTGTGAAGTTGATATCACGCAGGTAAAACCTGCATCCTTGGGTGCAATTTTAAGATCCTTTTAATGGTTATTAAATGTCTTAGGGGTCTTGGACCTTCTTATCTTTCAGAATTGCTTTTGCAATATTAACCCTTGTGGACCCTGAGATCCTCTGGCACTGGCCTTTTAATAGTCCCCAAAGCTAGAACACAAACTTACGGTGAGGCATCTTTCCAGCACTATGGCCCCCGTCTTTGGAACAGCCTGCTGGAGGACCAGAGGGCTGCAGAGAATGTTCATATTTTTAAAAGCAGGTTCAAGACCCACCTATTTAATTTGGCTTTAAACTAATGTCTTACTATTATCTATATTTTTATCTTATTTTATTTAAATATTTTAGTCCTCATTTTACATGTTATGTTTATTCGATTTTTTACTTATTTTTAAATAGTATTTTAGCTATTTACTAGTATTTTATAATTTTATCTAGTTAGATGTTCTTACCCAGTGTAGTTTAGGTTATGTTTTTATTGCGTCTCTTCAGTGTTTCCTCAGTGGGGGCCACCTGCACTGGGGGCTGTGACTGGCTCTGTCTGGGATTTCTCTTCCTCATGGTGTGCACTCAGCTTGGCCAGGTGGTGGTCCGCAGCAGTTCTTGCTACTGTGGGCCCCTTATTGGCCCCTGGGCCGTGAGCAGCTCCCAGCGCAGTTGACCTCCTGACGTTTCTTGACCTGGCCCCTCTGTACTCGGCCACATGCTTTTAAGACTGCATTATCTGTGTGTGTGTGTGTGTGTGTGTGTGTGTGTGTGTGTGTGTGTGTGATGGGGTCTCTGCGTGGGGGCGTCGCTTTTAACATGTAAAGCACTTTGTGCTCCATTTCTTTTTGCATAAAAAGTGCGATATAAATAAAGTTTGATTTGATTTGATGGCATATTCTTCTCTGTCTCTACGGTTGTTATTTCTCAGATAGTGGAAAAGTACCACCACAATGAAGCACTAGCCTACCTGCTGGAAAAGAAGGGTGATTTTCAAGGGGCTTTTACTGTCTTGTTAAAAGTAAGTAAACACTCCACAGATTGATTCGTGGTTCTTAGATAGAAAGATGCGCGTACGGGTGTATATGTGTACAGCTCAAACAATAAATTTTTTTTCCTATAATTTTAATTAAAAAGTGAAATTGTAAGTATAGATGATAGATGAACTTATATTCTTATGTCATCTCTCAATAGACATTAAAAGAAAAACTAAGTCTCCTCACTTTTGGGGAGGACAGAGGAGTTGAAGAAACAGAAGAGGGTTTGAAAGAAGAGGAAGACGACACTAAAACATCTCTGTCAACAGTGAAGGACTCTCTAAAAAACATCATTGACTTGTGCCATCATAGCTCTGAGAACCTCTACCAACAAGAAAGAGAGGTACTGTCAACACACATCATTGTGAGTGGACGGAGTCTGGCTGTTGTTGGCTTATTTATAACTCTTTGTTGTTTCAGGCCCTGTGGTTCCCACTCCTGGAGACGATGATGTTCTTTCAGAGAGAGGTGAAGCAGCATGGTTCGCCACACACATTTGAAGGTACAGTATCATACAAACAAACAGACATAATGTTTGTGCTGCATTACATATGATCAAAAAAGTCCTACATTTATGAGCTACAAAGTTTTCCTCTTTTACTCTCAGTCATCGAACCTCCAGGTACTCCCCTTTAATGAGTGTAGTGAACCTGCTCTCTTTTTGACAACACAGAAACTTTTCATTTACATTTTCTGTTATAACACAAAATATATAAACTAGTATTCTACATAGAATACAAACTGTAACTTCAAATACAAGATTACTTCCATTAATCAGTGTTTTGTAACCAATTTAATGTTATTTGTTTGTTTCAGTGATTAGGGAACTGACAATGAAGGTCCTTAACTGTATGAGCAGCTTTATTTCTCTTCCCGCCATCATCCAGCGAATACTCCAGGTGAGTATTTTCAGTTTGTTGCGGCCTCTCTTAGTTTCATATCTTGTTACAGTCATTTCAAATTTAGAAAGTTTCTCCTCATTTCCTGCCAACCTGATTTACATGTCTTGCATAAGTATCAGGTAATTACACACATCCCAGACTCTGTAAGGGCTTGAAGTTAATAAACCATTTCAGACATCAGAAAAAGGTAGCATTCTCCAACTTTTGCTGATATGGAATGTAAAAACACCACCATACCTGAAAGTAGCTTTCTTTCTGGCATGGGTCCTCTTCCATACACATCAATCAATTTTAAAGTTTCAAACAATATTTTTTAACTTTGTCATTATTGGTAATTGTGTGTTGAGTTGACAAATGAATTTAATCCATGTTGGAATAAGGCTGTAAAACAAGAAATTGTGAAGAAAAGTTTAGCACTGTGAATACTTTCTGGATGCACTGTACCTGCTCTGCCATGTGAATATGAACAATTGACCACTGCAGTGATATATGGATGTTGTTGTTGTTGTTTTTTTGTTTTTTGTTTTTATCAACATTTTATCCTCCTGTAGGTAATACCTCTCAGTATTTTGGTGACTAATCCAATTTATAATGAGATGTCACTCATGTTTGGTTGAAGTCATGTTCTGTAAGTTTCACTCTGAAACTTTTCATGCTCAATTCTGTTGCTCTGCATGATGGGACTGTTTCTGTTGATTGATCATTGATTTACCAACACATGGCTAAACACACCAGCTGTCCTAAAGTGACTCAATAAACCCTCTGATTATTATTTGCTGTTTGCATATCTGTTTCTGTTAGGACCCTGTGTACGGGACTGGTAAACTTGCAGAAATCCAAGGCCTCATACTGGGTATGCTGGACACTTTCAACTATGAACAGGTAATCAACTTTTTGTGTGTTTGTGAATGTGGGTCTCCAAGTATGTACACTTGTGTACCCAGATTGTTTAAGGGGCAGGGGTTAAAAAAAAGGAACTTTTTGTATGCCATGGGGCACCAACAGGCTGCCACAGGCTAGAAGTGAACCGAAACTTGCTGTTGAGACATGATATGGGATGTGGGCATAGACGGCTATGCCAGCAGCGCCCCACCAAAGCCATTTTTCTTATACTTTTCATGGAAAGGGCACCTCTGCCATGTCCCTATGAGAGGGAACACTGCTATTTGTGTGTACTGAAGGTAAAAGGGGTCTTTTTTGTCATTTTTAGACTCTACTGGAAACAACTACCAGCCTGCTGAACCATGACCTCCACTGGTCCCTGGCTCACCTGCATGCAGCAGTCACAAAAGGACTCCACCCGCGACAGGACTACTGTTACATTTGCCTCCAGCACTACAAGAGGAGGCAGGACTCGTTTGAGGAGATTATTGTGTTCAGGTAATGTTAATACAAGGTCTTCAAAGTTTGGTGTTAGTGTTCAGCGGGAAAGAAGGCGAACTGTTGTTGCCACAGTATTATTTTTAAAATATTATATGGGAGGTCTGGGGCAATTGAATCGGGGGGGGGGGGGTAACACAAACAGTCCTGCTAGACATGACTTTGGGATGTGAAAATCTGGTAGCACAATCCATTTCTTAAAACAACTTTGAGTCCAAATATCAGCCCTTAACTTTGTACGTTGTCTTTTTGCAGAGTTAACAGCAAAATAAGAATTTTTGCACCAGAAAATAACATGTAGAGCTTACAGGTGATTTGGAGGATTTTTGTCATGTTGTCCTGGGTTTTGTATTTAATGACCTTTGTTTCATTAAGATACATGACTAATGGAGGCTAGGATACACATTCATCCAAACATTTACTTGCTGTGTTTATCAATGGATAAATTTTTTATTTTTTATTTTTAAAGGAATGATGTAATTTACATTTAATGAAGCGATGATGCAAAATAACTACATTCATAGTTATACACCATATCTGCAAGTCAGCTTTGGCATGAACTATGCCTGTACTCCTCAAAGACGCATGTCATGTTCCTGCAAAACTGCACAAATACACCTTTAGATACCCACATCATTGCTTGGATATGTCTGCACGCACAACAGCAACCCAGAACAATGAATGCAGTGTTACAGTTCTCCAATCAGTCAATTTAACATACTACTCAGGATTGTGCAGCCACAATGTGTCAGAGGAGCAATTTGTGTGTAAAAGAAGAGTTTATGCAATTAAACAGCAGAAGTATCCATCAGCAGCCAACAAGAAAACAACAAAAATAAGAAAAAAAAGAGCAAAAATTGCAGAAAATTCAGAGAGAGCGGACTTTGGTGATCCTTGGTTGAACACAGGTTTGAGGAAATAAGATAAGACAAGAAGAACTTTATTTATCCCCAAAGGAAAATTCAATAATAATAATAATGATAATCTGGCTTTGCTGAATTGGATTCGGAGTAGAACTTTAAATTTGAGTTACCTTCTTGCAGGAAAAGGATTTATTTATAGACCCCACCATATATCTGAAGAAATGCATTTTATCTCATTTTTTTCAAACTGTAAAAAAATTTTTAAAGTATAATAATTTATAAATATATAACTTTTTTGTGTTTTTTGCTAATACTTTTTTAAAGCAAATGATGAGTGAAATGAAAAACCAAAGCTAAATATCATTGTACTTGTTTTCATGTAAACTTCTCTTTTTTAAAGCCTTCTGACCTCTCCTTCTTTGGCAGAAAATTCACTTTGTAGACCTTCAGCTTTTGCTGTCTTGCTGTCTTGTTAAAAAGTGTAACATTCAGGCACTAATGGGTTTTGTATATTTCATCAGCTGTGGTCACCTGTACCACTTCCAGTGCTTGCAGCAGAAGGATTGTGGTTGGGGCTCTGCTTCACAGCACCAGCCAAGGTGGAGCTGCTACAAATGTTCCTCAAGCCATGGAGGAAGGAGCGGGTCTTCTGTTAAACTACTACACTGCAGTAAATCCCTGGCACAAGTAAGTGGGTTTGTGCTTTAAAATAAATGTTTCAACAAAAACTGTGATTGACTCTGATTTAGTTTGAGGTAGAATGAGATGGCAATACTCCTCCCAGCTCTTTGACTTACACACCACTCTGCAATGTTTTTGTTGAATTTATTAGCCCAGATTGTCTGAATAGATGTGTAGGGGCAAAAACACCAGCAACTCACACACTCAGTCTGTTACAGCAGCCGTACTGCCATTTTACATGTAATATGTTTCACTTCCTTGTATGTTTCCATTATCATCTGTTGTTATGTCTCTCAGAAGTACTCAGCAGGTTAAGTACTCTGCAGGTATTTTCTTTGTGTCTTCAGTAAATCTAGACCTCAGGGTCTATTCAAGAAAGACATTCACATACACTTACCAGAGGGACTCTCTCCTGGATTGATGAGGCCACACCTCCTCATCCTAGCTTGGCAAACATTAAATAGCTGAAGCCAGGATGAAATGATCACAATAGGTTGTTACTCCCATAATACTTCTTTTCAGTGCACACAGTCCCGTACTGTAGTTCACAATCCTTACTTAGCCCTCTCTCTGCCGTAGACTCATGTTACATCAGTTCATCATGATGCAGGAGCTGAGGCTGACAAGAAAAAGGTACGTTTTTTTCAGATCTAAATTATATTCATGGCAAAATGCATTTTCTTTTCAGGTTTTCACTATAAAAAGGAAATACTGCTGTACCTTAATGCAACTTCTTAGGCTACTTCATGAAGATAGCGGAACCAGTTCAATTCTTGTTCTAGTACAGCAAACAGTTCTTTTAAAACAGGACGCAGTTTGTTGTGCTGCCCTGAAATTAATTGGTGACACTGTACAAAAAGACTAAATGATTGGTGCAGTTACCAGGACTAATGAGGAGCTAACCGCTCATTAACCAGAAATCTTTAAACCCATCAAGTCTCTCTTTGAGAGGCCAATCAAAACTTGAGATCAAAAGCCTTCATTTCCATCACTGAAAGCAAGTATTACATTCGAAACGTGGACAGATTTCAAACCTTTACCAATATTTGTCTTGCTTTTAGAGTTGTTCACATGGGCTTTGCACTTATGCTTGCCCTGAAATGTCTGTATTTTAATGTGTGCTGATGTGTGATTAATCTTGTGAGATGTAATTGAGCTATTTTGCTCATTTCAGTTTATCGACATTGATGCAGTGGCGATTGCTCTAAGACTGCAAGGGAAGCTCAGCTTCCCTTAAAATGTCACCCCCCAAAAAAAAGAAAAAGTGGTGAAATACGTACGGCTGTGTGTACATTTCATTAACTAAATACGCGCTAGAAAGCCTTCATCTTTTGTTCAGAATCACACTGTGATAAGAAGCTGATAATTACAGGTAACCAGCACAACTTCGTTCTCATTCATCCTCGCAGCGCCTCAGCGCTTCACACAGCCGGACGCTCAGCGTCTGCTGACTTCAATGTGGAAGCTCAAAGTGGGTTGTTCCAGCAGCGAAACTAGACGCTCATTGGATAAATGCTGGGCTTTGTCCCGCCCATCGGACGCTCAGCGTCTCTGGAGTTCTATGACGAGAGGGCGGTCCCAACTTTCCATGATTGGATGAGCTGTCTGAGGCGAAATCCTTTTTTGATTGACAGCTAAACAAGCGAATCAGCGATCTTGAAGAATAAAACATCTACCAGAGCATTTTCCAAGTTACTCATTCTGTTGTTCTTAACTCCGGAGACTTTACCGATCCTCAGCGACTTTTGTCTTTTGTTAAAAACGACTGCCGTTGTGTTTGGCGACTCTGTTCTGTTACATACAAAAAAAGAGCTTCCCCTCCTTGAAAGACCAGCAGCCGCCACTGCATTGATGCATACTGTTAACATGCTGATTAATGTGCAATGTAAGAATAAACAATAGTAACAGTAACCCCGGCTATTTTGAAAGATCTCAGTCGTAGTACATTAAGTGTTATTGCAAAGAGTCAATAATGGGCCCCACAGCGCTCTGCAATGGAGTACTAGGACCACATTAAGGATGATATTTTCAGATTTCAAGATTAAAATCATAATAAAGCTGTAAGAAATTCAATTAAAGTCATAATATTATGGGAGTTTAGTGTTATCAATATCATTATATTACCAGAATAAAGTCAGCTAGGATCATAGCATCATGAGAATATGATCATAAAATGACAAGAATAAAGTCGTACTAAACTCATATTTTTCTAAGAAGTTATAGAGTCATATTATCAAAGTAAATTTACAATGTTTAAGTTTAGAAAGTCACAGTGTGTTCTTAGTTTGGGAAACCATTGACCTTTTATGAAGGGGGAGGGTTACCTGAAGACCAGAACTAAAATGAGGAATATGTGGAGTGTCTAATTACATAAAAGAAAAAGAAGAAATTTCAGACGCACCATCTTCTTCATTTTTCAGCAAAGGACTGGCTGCTGATCAGTTTCCCCTTCACAACAGCCGTAACAGAAAGACTACACCAGTCATGGAATAAACTCTCATCAAATCTTTATTCTCGAAATCTTAACTTTTAAAATCCCTTAATGTGGCCCTAACACTTCATCACAGGGCTCTGACCAACAACCACACACAACTTAAATCAAACGGCATTTCCAAGTGCTGATGCACGATTCACTTCTTCTCTGCTGGTTTACTTTGTGTTTTTTGCACCTGTAGACAATGTCTGCCTCACATTTTTGCTTTGGTTTTAAAATGGTCCAGGTATTTGTGGAAGCAACGTTGAACCTTCAGCAGGAACAGTCCTGGGATCAATTCTGCAGTTTCTATAAAGGACCATCCAGGGTATGAATTGTTATATATGTTTTTCCTTTTTTTTTTTTTTCAAACTATAACTAACCAAGAGGATGTCAGATGTTACAAGAAGCAGGTCAGAGTTTAAAAAGATCAGTGTAAGGAGACCTCAGCTGGTTGTAAAATAGACTGAACTAAAGGTGTTTTTACTCCACGAAACTGGGCAATGTGCTGCTTCTATAACTTTACAAGACTGAGAGGTCTAATGACCATGATTTAGTTGTCTTTGTAGCTCAGTTCTAGTTGAGACTGACAGTTCATGGATAGTGCAGCTTACTTATACCAGTGGCATATATGGGAGTTAATACTGCATAAGTCCAAAAGGGGGCAATATTACCATGTTTTTTTTTGTTTTGTTTTGTTTTATACATTGATCAGCTGGGACTGTAGCCATCTTCAAACCTATTCATATCTTGTGTGTGACAGTTAGTTCCATGTGTTTCCACAGGATGGGTCTGAGACTGCTGTGAAAAAAATCAAGACAGAGATATGTTCAGGGGTGGACCTTGATCCCGTTTATGAAATATCAACCTGATCTAACACTGTATGAAGGAGTTAGATAGGAGATACTACTGCAGAGCACAGGTCCAACATGTGGACCTATGTCATGAAACAGGAAGTTCTTCTAAGTACTTAACTGCTTCTCTTAAGCACAGACAGGTACTGTGTATGGATCTGCAGAGCTGTATGTGTACAGTTGAGAAGTAGGCAAGTCTGTATAACTGTTTGAATTACTCACTTTTTCTTGCTTTTTTTTTCCAGTTGTCCATACTTTCACAGCTGTCCCACGGCCATAGCAACGAGAAGATGGTGTTCCTAATCCCAGGCGAACTAAGAACTGAAAATTTCTCACTGAAACTCTCTCCTCCACCTCTGTTGGAAGATTAGCACCTGCGTTGTCGAGCATAGATTTTTACTTTTATTTGTCCAAACTACAGTGAAGTGCATGTATCAGGCTTTTCAGCTATATAACTTAGAACATGCTTATTTTAAATGTAAAATACAAAAAAGGTGGGGCTTGTGACTTTTCTCAAGATTTTGGCTTAAGATATGGAACAATGACCAAATTCACGATTTGGTGGCTAAATGATATAACAGTCCAGCTTCATTTTGGCAGGGGTGAGGTCCCTTTAACAGTGAAGGGCCATTTTTCTGATCCATCAGTGGTGATGATCATTGCAGAACTGGAGACAGCTCAGTTTTTTTGATGTTCTGAAAACAATCTGAGGAGCTATAGGCTTAGATTTACACAGAATAAAAAAGCATTCATTGCATTCCAAGAATCATGTGAGAATTATCAGAGTCCAACAGAAGGGAGTGTTTTTTCTTTCAGGAGTGGGCTGTCAGACAGTTTTGGATAGAGGGAAGTTTCTCTTAGCTTATGCCTCACTGTTGCTTGTAAGTTTTGGCTTAGGTGTATGAAGTTAGTCTGTAAGGCGCACTTTGCATTATGCAGATGGAAATACCCATGCAAGACAGCAAATGTTGCATCATGATTGCAGAATTTCCCAAAATCATTTACAATCTGAGAGAAGTGGCTCGTGGAATTGTTTCTATGATTTCTATAAATGTGTTTGTTTGTTTGAACGTGCAGGGTTTAAACTGCAGAAGTGTCTTGTACTCATTCAAAATGTCCTTGACTTTTATTCTCTTTTGTCCTCTGTCTTGTTTATTTGCACTTTTTCCATCACAGACTGTGATTTTTTGGTTAGTTTCTTGTTCATTTTTCTGACTAAACAAGACAGTTTTATACCATTCAAGAGTTTTTAAGTATCAGCTCTTGAAGTGATTATGGAGAAAATCACTCAAATTTCACCTCACACTGGATGCATAAAACCTCTCCTTTCAGTCTCTTGGCTTTTTATTTTGTTAATAAAATATTGTGTGTGATATTGTGAGTTTATTCAATTTTGAATGAAATTGAATTTATTCATTTAAAACAGGGACAATGCACAAAAAACACACTAATTTGTAAGACAAGAAGAGATGCTTTGAGCCAGGTTATAGCAACAATTGCTAATTTCCACCTGTAGGCCCTGAGTAGGTAAAGCGAAAGCAGATACAATATTAAAATCATTGAAATGTGAGATAAAAATAACATGATGACCGTAGTATTTTAAAAATGGACAGAATACACCTGTAAAAGCAGGGTACAAGACAGTCAAATCATGAGTTGCACAATGATAATCAACAGCACATACTCTCTTTTACTCTCATCACATTCAAACACAAGCACATACACAGATAATGATCTAACTATCCCCATCCTCCTCGAATAACCACACTTATACACATATTAATAACCGGACTTATGTACACCAGTGGCTGCTGCTGGTCTTTCAAGGAGGGGAAGCTCATTTTTTTTCCCGGCCTATATCATAAATGTGTTTGTTTGTTTATTTATATGTAAATTTCACCCTCTGCTCCTTTTCAAGCAAATGATCTGTGACCCTGTCGTGGAGGATGAGAGTCGCCAAACACAACAATAGTCATTTTTAACAAAGACAAGGTTGCTGGGGATCGGTAGAGTCTCCGGACCAGTTCAGAACAACGGACTGAAAAATATGGAAAATGCTCCAGTGGATGTTTATACTTGAAGATTGCTGATTCGCTCATTTCGCTGTCAATCAAAAAGGGATTCCGCCTCAGACAGATCATCCAAAAGATCATAACAGTTTTGTGAAGTAAACAAACATTTGAGTGTATAATACCATATTTGGCAAGTACATGGAAATGATGGTAATGCCGTAGTTTGTTGGCATGGATCTTAAGACTACTTTTGTACAATGACTAATGGTTTTGTAACTGTTTTACATGCCCAAGACCAGGTTGTGATACAGTTCAAAAATGGGGCTTGATCATTGCATTTAGGTATGTACTTGATGAGAATTTCTCTTATGTCTGAATTTAGCTAAATTATATTTCAACGTGTTAGTCAGTTTTCTTACATGCCCTTAAAAACTAAGTGTTGGATCTAACGTTACTCCCAGGTATTTGAATTGTTCTACATGTTTTAATTTTTGCCCATTTACTACAATGTCAGGATCACTTTTAAATTTACACCTATTTGTAAAGAACAAGGTTACAGTTTTTTCCACATTTAATGTGAGGCATTAATTATATAACCAATCACTAACCTTGTTCACTGCCTTTGTTAATCACACAGCCACCTCTACTACATTTTTCCCACCAGTATACAATAGTGTCATCAGAATACATTATAGTGTTAACATCCTTACAAACTGTAGCGATTTGAATTTCTATCAATGTCCTAAGATTAATAATTGATAATAATCTTAAGTTTTGACATTTATGCACTTGTTGAAAGGGGCACCACCCACCTTATTGGCGGGAAAGTAAAGAAAAACAAAGGTTTAATTCCGTAATCAAACATTAAGTTAATCTTAAACTAATTTTAAATCAATCTCAAGCCGAAATTCTCATTTCAGCAACTCCACTTCTGGCAGAACACTAACAGACAAGAACTTAGAAAGTTTATTTACAGTAGAAATACTAGTACACAGAGACACAGTAACATACCAGCCACAGAGACATGTCCGGGTTGAGCTGCGTGAGAAATAAGAGAGAAAAAGGGGGGAGACGAATTAAATATCTTGTTAACTTTATCATGTGTGACTATTTACTGGATATTTAATTTAATGCGGTTTCAGCTGTTTTAATTCGGTCAGGTGGAGTGTCCAAACGCGTGCTAGAAGCGCCCATTAAATAAGATATAGATCAGAATATATCAACATAGATCTAACTGTATGTGCTGAGAGAGTTGCATTGAATATTGGTTGTTGATGATTATTTATTGCACTGAAATGTGCCTGACGCTGTGGAAACCTGCCGGTGAGGCATTGGTAACGTATGAGCACTATGCCTCCGGTCTACTAAAATACCACTAGACTCACTGCACTCCACCTGTGCTGAAAGCTGACCAGGTTTGAATAAGCGATCTTTCAGCGCACCTTCCACACTGCCAGCGAGTATGAAAATGTCACTGTGCCACAGTGTTGCCAACTCCCCAGTGAAGAAAGTAGCTATTGGCTGTCCTAAAAGTCGCTAGTTGCTGGCATCATCGCCCAATTTGCATAATTGGCCGAAGTGTAATGGACGCTGTAAGGGAGAGGGACAATGTCGTGGGAGAGACAAAAAGCGAGTAAAAAAACACCCCAAACCTGTTAAGAACTACAAATGAACTTTCTTTTGTCAATTCTTGATTTTTTTTTAAATGTCACAATACCAACCCTCCTCCTTTATCCAGGCTTGGGACCTGCAAAAATGACCCAATTGAGACAATTTGGCAAAGTTACTGAGTTTTTTGTTGTTGTTTTGTTTTGTTTTTTAAAGTTTTGTTTGGTTTTAAACAACCAGCAGTGGCTTCGTGCATACACGATTTATTTGCAGTAGTCTGGATATGGAGGAGTGCACACATCTCCTCTGACTGCAGCTGGGAGGGACTGCTGTGAGTGCTGTGGGATGGGGGAGAGGCTCACGGCAGTACACGCTGGTCGTTGAGAAGAGACGGTGATATGTGCTTTAACATCAGAGTCTCCAAAAGTCTCCAATGACACCACAAAAAAGTTGCTAGATTTGTGGCTTGTTGCTTTTTTGAAAATTAGTGGCTAGAGGTTTGAAAACTCGCTAAATATAGCGACAAAGTAGCTAAGTTGACAACTCTGCTGCGCCAGCTAATTCTGTTGACACCTCCTCCTACCGCACCACCACGTCCAGCTTGGCGCTTCAGTCTACTGAAATACCAAACTGGCTGTGCACCAGGTTTTGCCAGACTAAAATACCACTGCGTGGGGTGCGCCACCCTCCGCCCAGCGCTGGCAGGCACGAAAATAGAGCTCAAAGGCAGGGGCCGTCACACCTCAATTTCCCCAGACTATTGTTGACCCTGAACCAACTTTTTAGGAACGTGTTGCAGCATCAAATTCAAAATGAGTGAATTTTTATGTGGAAAAAAAACAACAACAAAAAACTGAAAAAAAGAACAATCAAGTTCAGTTTGAACATTAAATGCCTCATCTTTGAATACAGGTGTACACAGTGGACTCTATTTTCGTGCCTCGCCGAAGACGTGCCGCAGGCGCGGCGTAAGTCAGGTCCGCCGCGCCGACAAGGCGTTCCCAAGCACAATTTGTTTTTTTGGTGAGCGGCACAGCCCGGCGTAAGTATCCCCACTCAGCTCCTCCCAGCGGCGTAAGTCGTAGCGAGGAAGGAGAGAGGGCATGGAGTGGGTTTAACACAGCCAAGACCTGTATTGACCAATAATATCAGCTCCTCTCCTCGCCTTTAAATGCGCCTCCGGCGGGCGTTTTCGTGAAGTAGTCAAAGAGATCAAGAGATGTCTGAAGACAGTAATACCACATGATGGCGACAGAAGGCAGCCCCTCAACAAGTGTCGCTGCAGAGGGCGTCCTCCACACTCTCTCATATGAGCACAGATGGATTTGGTGTGTGTAATGTTGGAGCCACTAGTAAGACAAACATCCCTTTGCACAAATAAAGACACTCACATAAAGTTGCACATATTTAACCTCACATGACAAAGGTGGGTTGTGCGCAGAGATCACAACATAAATTCCAAAAATGGCATTAAAATTGGAACCATCTGTGCGTAAATGACGCATCGTGCTCCGTGGCCTGGCTCTTTCTTTCATAGATGTTGGCATATAAAATAAATTTGGCTCACAAAACTGAATATTATAATATTCATACAGTATGTAGGCTTAAAGTAAATAACTCATCTGATCACTGAAACAAATCATCTGTTCAGCCGCCGCAGCAGCAGCTGCAGCAGGACAGGGAGAGGACACAGACACATGTCCAGGTCGAGCTGCTTGAGAAATAAGAGGAATAGGAAGAAAGAAAAGGAGGGAGAGGAATTACATATCTTGTTAACTTCATCATGTGTGTCTATTTACTAGGTATTTAATTTAATTTAATGTGGTTTCAGCTGTGTTGATTCGGTCAGGTTGTGTGTCCAAACACGTGCCAAACGTGCTCATCAGATCAGATATAGATCAGAATATATCTATATAGATCTAAATGTATGTGCTGACTCAGATTATTAGTTGTTGATGATTATTTATTGCACTTAAATGTGACACTGCGGAAACCTGCCGGTGAGGCATCGGTGACGTATGCCGATACGCAGCCGGTCTACCAAAATACCACTAGACCAGCTGTGATCAGCCTGCGCTGAAAGCTGACCAGGTTTGAATCGGCGAGCTTTCGGCGCACTTCATACGCCGGTGGCGAGCACGAAAATGTCACTGCGCCCTCTGATTCTGTCGACACCTCCCCCTGCCACGCCACCACGCCCAGCTTGGCGGATCTCGGTTCGCCTCTGTGCGCCTCAGTCCACGAAAATACCAAACTGGTTGTAAGCCGGGTTCCGCCAGACGAAAATACAACTGCGCAGGGTTCGCCACCCTCCGCCGCCAGTTTTGTGGAGCTGTGCTTCTCACCTGAAGGACAGTATGTGTCTGTTTTGGCAGTGATCCACAGTAATGATGACACAAGATTCTGATTAATCTAAACTCCAGATATGGTTCATAATAGTTCATTTGCAGACAGAATTAATTCTCGTATATCACTGCTTAGACTACTCTAAGTTGTGAGTTTGCTTTAAAGGGAAAACAAAAAATGAAGGAAATAAATACAGTTTTTGTGAACATTATGTAAGATTCATTAAATACGATTTAGTGCATATAAACATTGAGAAAAATTGGCCACAAATGGGTTACATACCATGTACATGGCTTTTGATAAGCGTTACAAAATGAATAAAACTCTTAAATCCCACAAAAGAAAATAGTATCTATGCACTGGCTCGAATGAATTGACTCATCACATCACATTACATCAGTGAAAGGAAAAAAAAACAGCAGCAATGAAAGAAGACAGATGCATAAAAAACAGGATAATAAAAAAATGACAGGAATAAATCAAAACTGGTTACAGGTCACCAGCCTACAACTGTGAAAATATTATCAAACACACTCATGACATTGTACATTCCTTACAGAAAAAAACATGAGAATATGCACATGATGTAACTTATATTAATATGAACAGATTTTTACATCTTCATGTCCGAGGGCATTGTGTTTAGCTGTTAAGGATGTCAGAACAGCCTGGTCCCCAGTCCACCACTGTGACAGTGGTTTTATTCGGCAAGAGGTCAGCTCCTGTTAGACCTGAAAGTGTGGTAAATAATTTGGCCAAAAGAAGGGAAAAATGGAGTACCTGTGTTCCAACAAAGGGTTATTAGTCTTAATGCAAGGACAACTTGATCAGCATTTGCAAACAGGAACAGCTTTACTCCCTAAATTCCAGCTGACCTGTTTGCTGGCGCTTGTGTGCCTGTAGAAAAAAAAACACCTGGTGCATGTTATTAAATTGTCATAGCACATTCAGCAAAGTAAGAATTTCATCTCTGCTGTCCCCTCAATATAAAGCAAGGTTATCATTTAACCAGATCATAAATACTACGATGTCAAAAAGCTTTCCTATTATGGCATTTTTATCAAGTTTAAATCGGTCCCACAATCGTAAATTTGAAGTTTGCTGTCTAAAACACCAGTTCATTTGTAGATATCAGCTAGCCTGTACCCCCTCTTTTTGAGCTCCACTGAGAACGGGTTGATTCCGCGCCCGTGTAATGAGCTGTGTGTAAACATTTTCCTCCCCTTGGTCATTCGGAGCTGCGGTGGTCCAGGAGCAGTGGTCTGAAGATCTTCTGAGGACCTCTTCAGAGGACCTCCAAACCACCGCAGCTGGAAGCACCAGTCTGCCTTTGCACCCCAGAGGAACACCCACTGCTCACGGGAATAACAGTAAATAGAAGCGAGTCCAAAGACAAATTCCAACGATAATAAACACACGCGGTTGCAGCCAAAGCACTAGTCATACGAGCGGCGGTAAAGCAACATGAAGTGGTAGAACTTACAGCTTTCACATTTGAATTTGGGTCCCTGACACAGACAGTTGGTATGGATCCAGGTTTTATCTTCAGATTCTTAGCGAATCCTGCTTTGAACTGCCCCCTCATTGGTAAAACAGTTCATGGTGACATGGTAAGCACACACATCCATTTTCAAAGTTGTTGTGGGTACATTGCCATCAAAAATAAAATTTATCCTCTGAGTCCTCAAATGTCAGCTTGGAGGGGATGCATATTATTGGTAGAAAATTACCCAAAAGTGGATTTTTTATAATAGGGAAC